GTACGAGTGAGACCAGACCAGATTCTGACATGTTGACATAAGATACGAGTTCTTTCTTGAGAACATCTCGCAGAGGGTAGTGGAACTGGAGGCCAAAAGGGGATTCGCCATCTGATATTTGCCAAGGAAGAGAGAAGCCGCGGCCTTTTGCTGTTTCTGCGAGTGTCTTTTGAGCTAGAGTGGTGGTACTGTCTCCCCAGAGAATGCTCTCGCAATCAGCCAACTTGGCGTGCTCTACAATTAAGCGGGTTCGGAGAGTAGAGATTACGTCAGCGCGAGCTGTGGCGGAAGTGAGGGAATTAATCATGTGCACCAACTGGTCTTCGGGGCTTGCTTCGGCCTTTTGTTGAGCTTGGGGCAGTAGGGTTTTGAGTGACGCATCGTCTGGTATCAAACGAAATACATCGTGCAAAGGTAATGAAACATAGTCATGGTCTGGATATTGTGCGCGGACTTTCTCCAGAAGCTCTTCAGTCTGCACGGCATGTCCTGGTTCTCGAATATGGACTGCACTAATCTCAAAACCAGTGCGGCCAGTCTTGCTCTTCTGCGTCTTGAGATGCAAATCCAAGACATGCAGGAGGGAAATGGATGAGAATCCGAAAGACAGGGGAACCAGAATCCTGCGTTGCTTCTGTGCGCCAAAGTTGACCCGGAAAGATTCCAGACGCTTGATGCATTTGGTGTGAACATAGCGGGCGAAGCAGTCACTGTGCAAGTTTTAGCGAATTCTTTTTCTTATGCTTTTGCCCAAGTGGCGTATAACTGACTGGCAGAGGGGTTCAGAGCGAACGACAAGCACGGAAACGCCCTTGCATCGCCTACAAGGCTCCTCAGAAGCGTCAGCAATGTGTTTGCCCGGCATAATGGTGTGGTTGCAGGTGGTGATGTTGATGTTGGTGTTGCGATAGTTGTGCAGGGCTGACTCAGTAGGCGTGTGAAGAGTGCGGGACTGCGCCACATGCAGTTGAACGCCAGGCTGCGCCACAAACGGCCGCGCTAACCCGAGCTGCCGGGAAGGCGGACCTGGCTGGGGGGTTGTGAACGAACGCGCAATCGAAACTGCCACGGCTTCACGCCAGACTTGCGCCCATGACCCATCGTTAACCCGTACGCGAAGAAGAACAACCTTCGCTGACCCGATTCGCATTGTGTTCCCTGGCCTGAAGCGCCATTGTCTTTTAGCCGTCAGCTCCGCCAGCTGGCCTCTCATCTCTAGGCAGGATGAAGGCGGGCTTGCGCCTTATCGCGCTGCTGCTGCTGGCCACAATTACAGCAGTAGCAGCAGTGGAAGTGACTCTGGTAACTTCGCCTTCTACTCTGTGTTCTTTCCACCGCTGACACGCCTCTAGAACCAAGATGATCGCCAGAAATGCTCGGGCATGTACAGCAAGAAGGCATGGGGCGGCAAGGTTGACCCATTTATACTTGTCAAGTTCATAAAAGACCCAAAGAAGAACGAAGGCATTGAGAACCCGATAGTCAGCGTAGTAATATGGGAGTGGAAGGACACGTTGCTTCTGGGTGCTCCATCCGACTTGCCCGTGAACGACGTTGGTACTCAGCAGCCTGATGCTTGGGAAAGTTAACTGACTTGCGCATAGGAAAACCGCCATTATATCTGTGACGACGAATCGATCAAACTGAAATTATGTAACGAAACGCACAAGGGCGAGTGGGTGCTCGCCGAAGACGTCGACAACATCTCTCAAATGTACATCCGGACCGCCGCAATCAACCTCAACGACCCCAAGCCTATCAATTACCCCATCTCAACCGGAGAGAAAAAGGTTTCGATAAAGACGGGATATTACTGCGTGGCAGCGGCAGCCCAAGATAGTCGATTGCAATACGAGGCCGTCGTGGTTTTCCGGAATGCATATGGCGAACTCCAGGCGGCCCAGATTGCAAAACTGCCCTTTTACGGCGGCATCACACTCGTATACTTCCTCGTCTTGACATTCTGGGGCTTCTTGTATTTCCAAAACAGGCATGACATTCTCGCCGTGCAGAACTATATCACCGCTATCCTGGTCTTTCTGGTCTTGGAAATGCTCATGACTTGGGGGTACTACGACTACCAAAACCGCCACGGCAACAATGTCGGCGCCAAAGCACTCATGATTATCGTTGCTGTTCTGAACGCCTTCCGCAACTCATTCTCGTTCTTTTTGCTTCTTATCGTATGCATGGGATATGGTGTCGTCAAGCCTTCCCTTGGAAAGACAATGATGGTCGTCCGCTGGCTCGCCGTGGCACACTTCGTCTTTGGTGTCATCTACGCGGTCGCCTCACTCACTGTTCGCCCAGATGATGCTGGACCTATTGTCTTGGTTGTTATCCTTCCGCTGTCCGCTACACTCACGGCCTTTTACATCTGGACTCTGAACTCGCTAAACCTTACCATGAAAGACCTCATGGAGCGGAAACAGCACGTCAAAGCCACCATGTACAAGCGATTATGGTGGTGCATCTTGACAAGCATTATCGTCATCTTCGGTTTCTTCTTCATCAACAGCTTCACATTTGCTGGTGCTTCTACTCCAGACTTTGCGCCTACCCATTGGCAAACGCGGTGGTTCGTACTTGATGGTTGGCTAAACCTAGTCTACTTGGCTGATGTATGCTTCGTTGCATACATGTGGAGGCCAACGGCAAACAACAGAAGATTTGCTATGAGCGACGAGGTAAGTCTACATATACCATATGCTCCGTACAGGGATGCTGACCCATTCTCAGATTGCTCAGGATGATGAAGGCTTCGAGATTGCCTCACTCAGAGACTCCTTGGACGAGGAGGAAGGGGGCCCGAACCAGGGTTCCTCTTATGATCCAGCGCAAAGGTCCACTAACGATCATGCACGCGATGCATCGCCCCTACCTGCGCCACAACCACAAAAGCCCATTCACCCTCCTAGAGAAAGTCTTGATGGCGATACAATTTTCGCTGTTGGGGAGGACGACAAGTGGAGTAGCGATGGAAGCGAGGAGGAGGAAAGTGACGAAGACAGTGATGAAGATAGTGACGACTCGGGTGCTGGAAACTCAAAGGGAGGTAAGAATGAGCGTTCGAGATTGACTGGTAAAAAAGACGAATAGAGGTTGATTGGCCACAATGATGGCTCGGGTTTCAAAAGCTGTCACTTTGAGCACTGGCGTTCGTCGGAAAGCGATATACTTTCGCATGGGTTAGCGGGTGGTATGTATTTTGAACAAGCTGCCGGTTTTTGCATAGCTAGCTTTCGCAATAGTGCATTTAGATCTCGTTGCTCTACACATTGATGTCATTTTGCGCTTAGAGGCTACTGTCTGACTTCGTTCTTAACTCCGCAAATGCCGAGGCATCTCAAGTAGGAATGTCGTCAGAGTTCTTCACTGCATCTCCAAACTTTACCCTTGCGCAACCACCCATGGCAGCTCTAACTCTAAGCGCGCCCAGGCGCACTGCAAGATACATATGTGACACATGCCGTAATAGCGTACGCTATCCACGTAACCCAGCTTTTGGCGTACAACGATATCTTGGCACCGCAGCGTCCTTACGCAGTAAAGACTCACAGCAATTGACGTCGCATCAATACTTTCGCACTCGAGCTGCCGCCCCGAATTCAACTTTTGAATTAGCTCAGAGAGAATCCACATTCCGTCAATACTCGACATCGAGCCAGGCTGCATACGCCACGAACTCAGGCTTTGCGCCACTGCCACATCGTCGCCTAATCGCCCTTTCCGGCCCCGACACCGCAAAGTTTCTACAAGGCCTGATAACAAACAATGTTGATCCTGACCGTCAAGCATCATTTTACTCGGCCTTCCTGGATGCGCGAGGTAGAATACTGTGGGACGTTTTTGTATGGGTATGGCCTGAGCTTGTTGCAGAAAAGGGACACTGGGCTTGCTATATTGAGGTAGACGGAGGTGAAGTGGAGGCACTGAAAAAACACTTGAAACGCCATAAATTGAGGAGCAAGGTTCAGATTGAGGAAATCAGCCAGGATGCAGTACGCGTCTGGGCAACTTGGGGGTCTGCAATTGAGCAAACCAACACTCAATGTCTTGTTGCTAACCTGAAAGATCCGCGCGCACCAAACATGCATCGCCATCTCGCAGACTCAAATGCGCAAACGATAATAGATGGCGCGCAGCCGGCAGATGTTCAAGAATATCACCTTCAACGTTATCGAAATGGCATCCCAGAGGGACAGGTTGAAATACCCCGCGAGAGTGCCCTGCCAATGGAGTGCAACATCGACCTCTCGCAAGGCATAGATTTCAAAAAGGGTTGTTATGTCGGTCAAGAACTCACCATCCGTACAAAACACACTGGAATTGTACGAAAACGCATCTTGCCAGTCGAACTTTACACAACCGCCACTTCAGCCGCTCTTCCCGAACATGGCGCCGACATCAAGCAACTTGACGAAAGTGGCAATATCAAGAAAGGACGTGCGACTGGCAAGTTCGTGGCTGGTATTGGCAACATAGGGCTTGCAATGTGTCGACTGGAGAACATGACACATATGAAAGTCAGTGCCGAAGGGGGCACATGGAAGCCTGGGATGGAATTTGGTTGCGAGACAAAAGATGGAATTGTCAAGATTAAGCCGCTGTTGTATGATTGGTTTGTGTTGAGAGAAAGAGATTTATGGGACAAGAACAGGCAGAGGTTGTGAGAAATAGCTGGACGAAATCCCGAAACTAGTATGTTGATAGCCTCACAGTAATGTCGTCCACAGCATGACTCGATGGTGCAGTGCAATAGTCCACGTGGTGCGCCTGGCCTGACCGGTAGGTTGACCAGAGGGGCTGTGCATGTGTGGCTTAGCTTCGTAGACAAGACATCATCATATATCCATCTCTCATTGCGCTTTTGATGTTCAGTACTTGTAACCTAGTCAATGATTTTATCCTTGGCGATTAGTTGCGCTGTACCGCCATTCATCAAATCAACTGAATATACCTAACAGATTTGCGGCAATCAAAAGCTGCCAACCCAAAACATGGATGTTACCACACTATCGCCAAGGTCATCGGAACATCAATCTTCCATCTCTAATATGATTTCACGTCTTCTTTCTAAGAAAAAGAAGAACCCAAAGCGACGAGACGAGCAAGCAGAGCAAGAGCAAGAGCAAGATACTAGACCACAACTCATCCATGCACCCGTTCCCCTCGTCCTCCCCGAACACCAAGACACATTACTGAAACTTGGATGGACCACGATCACATTCCCAGGAACTTCACCAACAACTCAATCCCCAGACTCCCTCTCTAGCATCCCACCACCAGGGCCACATCCACTCCAAATCGCCTACCAAGACCTCTTCTCTGCCGGCCAAGCTTTCTTCAACCTTGCCGACTCCGAAAAGCACCAATGGAAACACCGTCTCGGCTCTGAAGAAGGATGGTCCAAGATCCCCGGCGAAAAAGAATTCATCACCCTCCGCTCGCTGGCATATTGTCCCGAGATCTTACGCGCTCCTGCCCAACGGTACTGGGAACTTGTCGGAAAACACTGCTCGAGTACCCTAGGTCGCATATCCACGGCGCTTGGGCTTCCTGATGGCGAAAATGAGGGTCTGCGTCAATTCGTGGGGCCGTGTGCGCGGATGCCCGTGGAAGAAGAGGGCAAGACGGCGACGATGTTGAGGCTGTTTAGGTATGAGGGGTGGGAAGAGAAGGTTGTTGCTGAGGCGCATGCGGATTTGGGGTTAATTAGCGTGGTTGTAGGCGATACGCCTGGTCTGGAAGTTTGGGATGGGGCCGACTGGTTTGATGTGGAGAGGGAAGTAGAAAGGAAGGGCGGAAAGGGGGCTACGATGCTGATCGGACGCCAGTTAGAGAGGTTGACGAATGAGAGGCTGAGAGCGGGTGGGCATAGAGTTGTTGCGTATAGGGAAACCCGGAATATGTCTTCTGAGGGTGGGGTAGATGGTGTGGAGAAGAGGTATCGACACTCGATTGTTTTTGTGCTACGCGCTCACGAGAGTACGCAAATCGATTCGGATGCGCTTGAGACTCGTATTACGGGGAGGTGGAGGCAGCCGATGAAGGGGGTTACTGCTGGTACGCTGTATGAGATGATTAGGAGTCAGTGCTTCAATATTAATGTGGAGAAGGAAGAGAGAGATGCACAGAGGAGGAAGCTGGCTGAGGCGAAAGAGGTGCGATAAGGCAGGGTGGTTGAAGTTCCATAGTGTCATCTCGATGCTTTCTATATGCTTATTACTCAAAACTCTATTGCTTCATCTTTTTGGACGTTATGATAGACACTTGTGAAGAGATAACGTCTGGAATTTAAAAATGAAATAGTTGACTGACGTCCATGCTACATCGTGTGTATGCGATAGTGGAAGGAGATTTTCAAGTGACTTCATAGAGTCAAAAGTGTAAGGGTATTTGTAGATATCACGTCACGTGTCGATAGGTTAGACAAATACAACCACTTCCTTATCGCGGTCTGAAAGCTGTCATTTACTTACCTTGATGCAGCCGCCGAGCATGACCACGCATTCTTCCAATTACTCCGTCTCGCCTGAGCCATGTCTGCGCCACTAATGGCGAAAGGCTGGTGTTGGGCTTCTTCAGCCTCGCTTTGCATACGAGGCACACTTCAGCCTCGGCTTTCTGGCCCATGGCTCATTCTCGCCCCAGCCTTCTCACCTCCCTATCTTCCGCATGCTCAAATATCTTTGCCATATGCATTCGCCCATTACATATGGTACTGTAGTTCCCACCACTACCACCACCGCTATGACCATCGGAACCCCACTTCCCGCTTTTGAACACAACCCACTTCCCGAACATAAATCACATTTCCGCCTACTTAGCATTATTCGCGGCCATTTCGGCCAACACGTTGAATGCGAGATCTCTACCTGGCCCATTGACAAGGCACCGCCTTACTACGCAATATCATATGCGTGGGGCGATGCCAACGACACGACGGATATTACGATCAACGGTAGTCGTCTAGAGGTGCGGCGCAACTGCGAGTATGCGCTCCAGCAGGCATTTGCCACCAAGGCCTGTAGATACGTATGGGTGGATGCTATTTGCATTGACCAGACGACCAAAGAAAAGAATCACCAAGTCGGAATTATGGGCCTTATTTACTCAGGAGCAAAGCACGTTCTGGCATGCGTTGGGCCCCACGAAAATAACAGCGAATTTCTCCAGAGATTCATAAAGAAATACAGTCTATTGCTAAGACAAATCGGTGCCCTGGAGTCGGATCATTACTTTTGGAAGTACACCCTGATTCTGGAACACAAAACAGCATTTCTCTGTTCACTTCTCTCAGTGAGTAGTAGAACATGCCAGATGATGTACGAATCGTTCTGCTCATTCATGAGACGGCCATATTTTGCGCGTCTGTGGGTGATGCAGGAACTGCATTTGGCTCGCAACGTGTCCTTTTGTTTCGGAGCGGCTGTAGAAGAAGCGATATATATCTCAGTCCTCTTCTCATTCCTTGTATCTTGGAGCATTCTCGGCAAGGCTCCTCCATTACATTTTGGGTTGGTCAAAGGATCCCTACATTTCAAATTCATGCGCATATTATGGCGTTTCCGCAATAGGCATTTCCCGCAAGTGGACTTTGGAAATCTAGACGACCTCCCAAAAGACCGCTTACGTTTAGCCTGCACAAAAAGTATAAAATCAACACACAGCATGCTGCTCGACATCCAGGCAGAATGCAGCGATCCCCGAGATCGGTTGTTTGGCGTGCTGTCTCTCGTGACTGGAAAGCAAGGTACTAGGTTACCCAAAGTTGATTATGGGAAGGACCGTTATGAAGTTGCATTGGATGCTGTAAAGTTTCTATCCAGTTGTAATCATGATGTCGCACGAAAATTGTGTCGCATCTTTCAAGTCACTGGAGAGGAGGCATCTCTTCTTCGTGCGCAAAGTTTGCGCATCAGCACTTCCCAAGCAACAATCAGATTGAATCATAGTAAGCCTGACTATGCTTGTCAATCTGGTAGCATTTATATGGGCATCGAGGTGGGAAGTACTACGGGGGCCCTGAAATCTTCTGGTGCTTCTGATGCTTCCAGTGGATTCGATTATAGCCATCGCAAATGCTTTGTGTCATTCCAAGAGCATGAAGGGAGTTGCATTCTGAAGCTTGAAAGTGGTCAAGATACGATATGGATGCAAGGACCTCTCAATACAAGGATAGGTGATTGGCTGATATGTCATATCGGCAACGGAAACGAGAGACCTTCCATAGCTTTGATTATCAGAGAATCGGAAAGCGGAGTATATGTTCTGGTAGGACAAGTGCTTGTTGGAGACCCCAGTCTGCTTTTAGAGGTACTTCGCTTAACTGTCGACTTCACTCGGTTCAGGCCTTGGTGGCACCCAGATGATGTTCTGTTTTTGGGGTGGAATTTCCATCAACGTTGGTCAAACAGCATGATGCAAGACCAGGTAAACGAGTTCGTCAACCTGCAGATTTGTGAAGTTGATGGTTCGACATATTTCGAAAAGGGACAATGATTGAGTTATGTGCGAAATTGATTGGTATCACGATTACAAATACGGTATGTTTATATTCCAATGAGTGGCTCTTTTCCAAATCCGTTATTATATTTGCTACAAAGGAAAGTTTATATTAATACAATGCTCAACTCTGAAGGGATCACGCCAGAAAATGCACAATAGAATTTCCTAGGCTAACCATGAATATATGTAAATCTCGTCGGCAGTATATCCCAGAGGCTGGCGCGCAGGTGACGTGCTTCATAATGAACTTATTCCAGCTCATACACCACGAACAGATGCTTGGGTAGAGGTATTTTTGAGATCAACCTCATGACTGTGGCTAGGATTGCTTTAAACCTGTTGATTGAAACGCCCGGTTGAAATAGAAACAATACAGGCCGGGAATCCTTGGGTCGGTCATGGCACGTGACGGGCACCCACAAATAAGTACACTGGGATGGATGTGACGCAGCACAAGCATTCTGTGACAGGCTAGCAAAGTGAATGACGTTTGCCGCAGATTACCAAGTCGGTGTTTGGCCGGGTGCGGAAGAAGCGGAATTCTCGCCTAGACATGGACATACATATGTAAGTACACAAGGAGGATGGTGTATCGGCAGCGAGGGGCTTGATTGAGGCGTTGGCGATGCAGCCATGAAGCGTTTGTGGAAAAGGACCGAGCCGCAACTCCTTTTGAGAGGTCGAGGAGGCAGGAACAGGCTAGCGCTGACGCTAGCGACGCACCAATGTGGTGTAACGTACCCAAACGATGTGTTTCAGAACAGGGCAGGGGCGTGTGCGTTCGGGGAAGCAGCGACCCAGCGACGACACGCCAAAATAATTCACTCTCCCTCCTGCCTGGCGGCACCACAACGACGACGACGACGAGGACGACGACAACACCAACACCAACACCATCAACCACACCGCCTCGACTCCCAGCCGCTGCTGACTAGCCCCTCCTACCGACCGCCTCCCGGGCACAGCCGCATTGCTATTCACTGGGCTGAACCGCCTCGCCCTGCCTCGCCCCGCCGACGGCGTCTCCGAAACTCGCATGTTCGTCAGACATCAGCACCACCTCAACTCCACACTGTCGCTCCTTCCTCGATAAACACCTACGACCGCATGCGACGCTGGTCATCTGCCGCTGGACGACGGACGCGACCTGACCTTCTTTGTTTGCACCGCCAAAGCACCCTCGAAGGGGCTGACTGAGTCCCTGCGCAACCCGCTCCGACCAACCGCGCCTCGCTTCGCTTGGCTACCGCTCAACGCCCGCCAGCCTCCAAACATTGAACACGCCGCGAGGCATGAGCTAGGATGACGCGCCCTCACATCATCAGAGCAGGTATGAGCATGGCCAACCCGTGTGCCATTCGACGTGCGTGGGCTAATTTATGGCGGTAGACACGATTGACCTGCAGGACAAGTTATCCCCGACCGCCCAGGACCACTCCCACCAACCCGAGCACCCAGCGCCTCTTGGAATAGGGCCAGCCGCGCCCCATCAGCAGGCCGCTATCCGCCATGTAGAGAAGGAGCGTTCCTCGGAAGAGGCGCGCCTGCACGATGTCTGGACCCACGGCAACAGCACGCTCCGAGACGACCCTGGGTCTGACGACGAACGCACCGTCACAAACAACACAAACGGACACCAATCTGGGCACGACGAGCCTGCTGTGAGGTTGAATGGTGGCGCACTTGGTGACGACGATGCTGATATGCAGGATGCCGACGTGGAGGAAGACATGGACGACGATATGATGGACAAAATCTCGAGTTCGCCTTCGATTGACGATGGTGGGTATTTTTTACCTTTTCATTCCGCGACTTGGCCCGCAAGACAGGAGTCTCTGACCCCACAGTCTTCGCCGATGCCCTCAACAGTCGCTTCTTCCTCTCCTTTCACGAACACACCCAATCATTTTCCTATTTCTGTTGCGGATGCCGCAGGGCCGTTTACGGCCCCAGCGTCCGACAGCTCTCTTTTGTCAACATGTCAATTCCCGTCAATTTCTATTCCTTTTCATTTGCCCTCGTCTATGGAGGATTCGTCAACGGAGCATCATCGTGGTGAGTATACCTGGATAAGGACCACTACCGCCCCGGACAACAAGGACGATATGGAAGCAGAGGTGGGTATGAGCCCGAGAGCCAAGCATTTAAAGGTAATAGAACGCCGTATACAAATGATGAGGGATGATTCACAAGCATCACTCGTCTCTGAACTCGACGAAGAACAAGTCAGGAATACGCTCAAGCCCATCAGTCGATCCTTGCTCGGCACCTCAGACGATCCGTTTCTGGATTGCGCATGCAGCCCACCTCGGACATTGAACGGAACGCCTCCACCTACGCTTCAGTACCCAGACGATGAAGACGGCTCTTGGACTACTGACAGCGATGCTGATTCCTGGGACGAGGACCTGGACCAAGACAACGATGATGCATCCAATGACGCTTTCTTTTCTCATGACTCCAGATTTATCGACTCAGGTTGGGGAGGCGAATGCTTACGAGAAATAGAGGACATTGATTTCGAATTCGTCTACGCTCTACATACATTCGTTGCGACCGTCGAGGGTCAAGCAAATGCAACCAAAGGTGACACGATGGTGTTGCTTGATGACAGCAACAGCTACTGGTGGCTGGTACGGGTCTCCAAGGATAACAGTATCGGTGAGTACCGACAGCCGGCGCACCATTCCTCGCTGACCAAGTCAAGGCTATCTCCCCGCGGAGCACATTGAAACCCCCACAGAACGTTTAGCACGTCTCAACAAGCACAGGAATATTGACCTTTCTGCAACGATGCTTGGCGATACCGCCGAGAAGACCAAGAATCCACTCAAAAAGGCCATGCGGCGGAGGAACGCAAAGACGGTACAATTCGCACCACCAACCTATGTTGAGGCATCCGACTATGACTACTCCTCCGACGAGGGCGAGGGTGAACTTTTTGGAGGCCCCGAGCCTAAAGAGATGCAACAACAACAGCAACAAGCAATAGCACAGACCGGTGATTCGTCTCAGGACGAGGGTCTGCAAGTGCAGCCGCTCAAAGTTAACGGGGCAAGAAAGGACACGAATGGTCAAGCCGAGGGCGATGCACGACGCTCGAGTGATGACTCTAACAAACAAGACGGACAAAGAGGGAGCGAAGACAACCTGGATCGCCCGCTGGATCCCAAAGTATCACGTAACGGTACTCTCCGCAACACCGACTCTTTCTTCAAGGACGACAATACCGAAACACGCAAGATTACACTTACACCCAACATACTTCGCGATGACTCGACCCCCTCAAGTAATGGTTCTCGAGAACGCGGTCCAAGTCTAGAGAGTTTGGAGAAGAACGGTTTTGCAGACAAGGTGAAAGATGACAAGAGGAAGAAGGAGAAGAAATCCGGTATGCTTAGCGGACTGTTCAAGCGCAAGGACAAGAAGGGCAAAGGCCCGCAGGACTCCATTGACAGCGATGTCGACAAGGCAGAGGAGGTGGATCGCAGTTCACCGCAGTCGAAACCCTCGGACGAACTTGTAGAGCGGCCATCCAACGAGCAAGTGACAGCACCTGCACCCTTGAGACAGTCAAGCAAGAACAAAACGCATAAGCGCCCGAATCACCGAGACGACTCACCGATAAAGACAAAGGGCATCTTGAAGACTGAAAGTCCTACAGATATGGATGCGGATGATGATATGGATGCTGAAGAGGAGCCAACTACCCAGCAAGCCACCTCATCCATGCGCCTAGTACCGCCGGAAAAAGAGGATGAAGACCAACCGGCAGCTGAGGAGCAGGCTGCACCATCTGTCTCGGCTTCGAACTCTACAGCCTCAAAGAACCCCTTCAGCGGTATGATCAAGTCTCAACCTGATGGAGAAGTGAAGCGCGAAAAGGTCACAAAAGCCAAGCAACGTGTACAGTTGGACGATTTCGATTCGGATGAGAGCAGCGATCCCTTTGCGGACCCCGACGCTGAACGTAAGACTAGAGAAGCTGAGCAATCGGAATCGACTGAGCGTCTCTCGGAATCACCAGTACATGTCTCTGTTGCCGACGTACAAGCAGCTCAGAAAGAAAACGCGGCAGACAGAGACAGAGAGATGGACTCTCACCATACCCCGGGCCTATCTACAGACAGCTCAAGTCAAGAAACCAACTCGCCGATATCGACCCCAACACCCGATGACAGTCCCACGAAAACCACCCAGGAGGGTATTAATGCCCCACGGTCTAACTCTGGGAATACCTCGCCTACACATGTCATGTCCAACTCCACTATTCCTCCTCCTTCGAGGCCCGCTCCCATTCCTGTTGAAGAATCAGAGCCTTCTCCACCTGCTTCTTCAGAGAGCACGATACTTCCCGCTTGGTCTGACGCTTCACTGCGCGCCTACCTCGACGACGGTAGCGAAATTCGAGACATGCTCGTGGTCATCAACGATACTACAGGCGTCGTGCCAGTTGGCCCCGACCATCCCCTTATGAAGGATTACCTCGCCGAGGAAATGAAGACAATGCAAAGCTTGAGTGGTGAGCTCGACCGCTTGCTGAACGGATTAATGGAGAAGTCCATGAAAAGAGCGGGGAGTGCAGCTAGTAAAGCTAGCACGACGCGCAGTACCAGCGCCAATGGTAGATTGAGCGCAGGGGCAATGTTTTGAAGGAGTAAAGGCTGGTCCGGAGTCATTCATCATTGTCAGTATACCCGAAGGACTGGATTTTCTTTCTTACTTTTTTCTCCTCTACCGGCGTTGTCTTCGAGACCTGGGACACATCATGTGGGATGATTTCGGAATTCAATTGGGGGTTCTGGTTTGGGTTTGTACGCTTTTGTTTTTTTTTTCACTATGTCCCCTCCCCTTTTCCCGTTCTTGCACCTCTATTCTGGTTCCGCCTTTTTTTGTCTTTCTATTTACGGGGCTGAGGAATTATTCTATCTGGACGTGCTACCCAGAGTTTTGTTTTTTCTACCTTGATTTTCTTTTTGTGTCCTCTAATCCTTCCCTCTGGTTGACTATGGTCAAGGTGGGCTTGGGATTGCAAGACTATTCGTTACATGACCACATCTCCAATACCCCTTTTTTCTTTTCTTCTCCAATTCTTTGGATATGTTTGCGGCACTCGCTTATCTTCCTTTCTTTTTTGTCTGGCTGTCTATCTTGGTTCGCGTGGGGGCTGTTGACTTGTGGCGGTATGCTTCCTTTCCCCACTTTGTATTGTGTAGCATTGAACATTCTTCCTCCATCCTGTGGAGGCGAGAGAAGCAACCCTGGAAATACATGCTTTTGATCCCGAGACTTTGCTTAGATATGCCAATGGTGACTGTGATATTGATACTGGCAGGAAGTAATATTTTTCAGTGTATGCTTATTTGCAGGCTATACTGTTGATTTTCTGAGAAGCGATTAGATAACTTCTTACGCTGGCCCCTACTAAAGAAGATAAAACGAACTCAAGTCATAGCCATTACGCGTATTCCCACATGTAGATATCATTACACATCCACATCCTCCTTCCGCAACACCTTGACCGGCTTCTCATCCAACGCCGCCTCCTCCGCCTCACGAATACCCAAACTCTGCGCAATATGAAACAGCCTCATCTTCTCCTCATGCGCTGTACTATCCCCAAACACCGCATCCATCTCCTCCAGACTCTTGCCCCTCGTCTCAGGGATACAAAACCACGTAAACACAAACGCAACCAGTGCAAACCCCGCAAAGAAAATGTACGTGCCAAACCCAATACTATCCAGCATATCCGGCGTCACGAGCCCGATGATAAAATTACACATCCACGTCGCAGAGGTGGTTAGCGACATAGCCTTTGAGCGGTTTCCGATGTTGTAGATTTCAGAGGGGAGGACCCAGCCGATGGGCGCCCAGGAGTAGGAGAAGTTGATGTCGTAGATGTAGATGAAGGCGATGCCTGTCCAGCCTGCGGTGGGATGCGAAGAGAGAGCTGAGCCGTAGCCCCCGATGACGCCGCCGACGATTAGCAGCGAGATGCAGGTTCCGGCTGCGCCGCAGAGGAGGAGGGGGCGGCGGCCGAGTTTGTCGATGAGGAAGAGGGCGGGGAGGGTGGATATTGTGTTTACTGTTTAACTTGTTAGTGAAAAACCCCTTTTTCATGTTTGTCCGAAAGTGCTTGAGATGGAGGGTGAAATTTACCGATTCCATAAACACCAGTTGCCAACAACCCCGTTGTCTTTCCTGACAACCCCAACTGAGCAAAGATCGTCGGTGCGTAGTAGATAATCGCATTGCAACCGATGAATTGTTGGAAGAACATGACGCAGCAGCCGATAGCTGTGCGCTTGAAGGAGGGCCAGGTGGAGAAGAGGGTTGAGTAGCCGGCTAGGTAGAGCGACACCCCTGACTTGCCTGGGAACTTTTCCCGAGCGTACGTCTCTTCGAACATGACTTCTGCTTTGATGGATAGATACTCTTTCTGTACTTCTTCTTCGTCGGGACTGGTACGTCGTACTCGTGCGAGGGCGCGGAGACCCGCATCTTCGTTGTCGCGCTTGCAGTAGTATCGCGGTGACTCAGGGAAGAACAACATGCCGATTCCAAGCACGAGACCAGGGAAGATCTGGATGGCAAAGGGGACACGCCACGAGGCGTCGCTCTGGCCTGTGCAACCCTCCGGACCTACGTCGTTGATGGGATGGAAACTGGGTTTCGAGGCTGTGCCGCCCGTATAAGGGATGTCTGGCGCGCATCGTGTCCCGCCAATGTACTGAGTCCCGTACTCGAGCCAGTAGGAGACAAGGATACCGAGGGTGATGGATAGTTGCTGTAAGACGACGAGTGTGCCTCGGATACCTGCTGTAGAGACTTCACTCATGTACATCGGGACAATCATGGTGAGCATGCCGACTGAGAACCCGGCAATTGCTCGGCCTATGGATATTTTAATTGGTTTTTCATACATGTATCGAGATGGAGTGTTACGTACCAGCAAAAGCCATTGGAATATCTATAGCACCCGCCTGGAGCGCAGACCCAATGGTGAAGATGACAACGGCGATTATAATTGAGCCCTTGCGCCCAAAGCGATCTGCCACTGGGCCGTTCACGAGCGAGCCGAACCAAGCAGCGAGTAGCAGGGTCGATACGAACCATCCCTTGAATGAACTGTCAAGAGCAATTCTTGGAAACGCCGCAGCGAACGACTCCATTGTAAGGACACCAGAAATTACACCTTGGTCATAGCCGAAGAGGAAGCCACCGAGTGAGGCAAACTGAAAGTTTTAGTCAAAATCTTGGATTTGGACAAAAGGTGTCTTACAGCTGATAGGCCGAGGAGGTATGGGTTCTGTCGTAATTCCTTGTACACACTCTTCTTCTGGGCAGCCCCCGAGTCGACTGCATATCCTGTGTCCGACATATTCGCAAGCTTACTGGCTCTGCGTCAATTGACTTGCTTGAAGGAATTCAGGACACAAAGCACATGGAGCATCGCAGCACCTGATCGCCCATATATGTACATGCTCATCATCGAAAGACCTTGGAATATCACAAAGGCACCACCAGTCACACGACTTCGGATCACAATGATCCGACCATACAGCAACACCAAATGTGCTCCACTGGTATGCAATGCAATGCAGTTCTGTCTGAAATTTTCCCCGCATGGAGAGAATTACTTGATTCATATGTTAAAACTGGGGATCGAACATGACTTGCGCTCGGACTACTATGCTCCGAACCCCACAAGAAGCATATCTTGCAAAGAACAGGTTTGCGTGACGTTGATGCTTCGATCATTTTGACCCAACGTCTGCAATTAACACATCTCACCCAATCTCCTTGGGACTTTCTCTCTTTTCACTTAACAGTCCATCAATCCATTCTAGCCTCAGGAGATGACGAACGATACTTGTGTGGATAAGCTTCCTGCAGCTATCCTAGACTTGGTCAAGCGCACGGAAAAGCTCCTCGCTCGCCAAGCCTCTAACCCCAGTCAACGCATGCTCGTTGCGCTTGCGGGTGTGCCAGGAGCGGGCAAGTCAACAGTATCCGATGCGCTCTTAATCGAGTTAGCGGCGCGAGGCATCAAAGATGTTGCCATAGTGCCAATGGTAAGTAGCAATCGCAGCAAGCGTCAGGGGTTCTGACGACATCAGGACGGGTTCCACTATACTCGCGAGGTTTTGTCGGCTTTTGCAGATGCAGATGTAGCATTCAAGAGACGCGGTGCTCCCTTCACTTTTGATGCAGAAGGATGCGTCAAGCTCGTGAAGTCGCTCAAGACTGCACCCGTCACTACAGATGGCGAAGAAGACTTGTGCATAAGTGCACCAACCTTTGATCATGCAGCCAAAGATCCAGTCGAGAATGGAATCAGCATATCTTCCCGCACACGCCTCATCATCGTCGAGGGCAACTACACACTGTTGAAACAGAAGCCATGGGATGAAATTGCAGAGATCTGCGACGAGAGGCGCGTAATTGCTCTTCGTTGACGCCATAGACCCTGACTGACATTGTATAGGTGGTTTGTAGATGCACCTGTGGAAGTCGTTCGTGATCGCTTAGCCCAGCGTCACCTCGCTGCTGGAATTGAATCTTCAAAAGCGGCAGCCATTGCCAGAGCTGAAGAGAATGACATCCCCAACGGCGAGTTGATACGGTCATTGCTCATCGAACCAGACGTGATCATTGAGAATTGATAAGGATGTTAAATCCAAGCGCAAGCTGGAGGCTAAAGGAGGCTAATACTCTAGAACTGCGTAGTGGACAAGTCCCAGTCGAAAGAGGTAAACAGCTCGTTGGACTCCACAGACCATGGGAAAGTACTCAAAGCTTCTTTATCCAGCTCAACGTTTTGGAGCGTACCCGAACTGAAGTCATCAACGGATACAACCTGGTCAAGAATAGCGACGCATCTTGCTGAGAGTGAATCTGTAACGAGATGTTCACGGAACGTCTTCCTGGCTAGCCGCACATCTTCGAGCCAGGTGGGCATTTCTTTGGCACTTGGGAAGCTGATTATGCAGAGCGTGATGACTAAAGCGGAATGGAAGAGGAAATATCTATAATAGCCAATTAGTTCTCAACCCTTGTTGCAATTGATATCCTATACTTACGTTGCGTACCATCCTTCTAATCTGCTCGGTTCACTCATTGTGTACTGGTGTATCGAAGTGACAGTAGAGTGCGCAGCATCCAAACAAAGCCGCTTACATTCGTCTTGAGCTGATTGCGTTGCTTCGTCAGGAATCTGGCTGCGCTCTGCAATTGCACGACGAAGCAGGATTTGTCGAAAGACGATGATTTTGAGGTTCCAGAACCTCCACCATAGTCGCGACCTTGCAAAGACATACCATCGGGCTGGCATATATGGTGGATGTGACAACTGAAAGTACAAGGGTACCATATGCGCCCATGCTTCCATGGTAGTGTTAAATGCAAGTGCTGCTTCAGCTGACAGACTAGGTTCAGCTAGCAATCTATTTGTGATGTGGTTGGTATGCATGTGAAAGCTACTCTGTTCACGAAGTGCAGAATAAATTGTTGGCGTATCAAGTTCAACGGGGAGCTGAGTAGTTTGAGGAGTGAGTGCCTGGCTCTTGTCAGCTGCGTGCCACTCGTCTTTGACCCTATTGGATACTTTACCTCGTCATTTATGTTTAGGGCGGGGTGTACGCTCATGGAATCTTGATCAGGTAACATGACTGCTCGTCCGAAAGTTGTAGACGCTCCGCTGTCGAACACGTACAAGCCCCACCAGACTCTGCGTCTCGACTCGCGTTCGATTAGGCTGATGTTCCAATGTGGAAGCTCTCGGTGAAGAGCTAGACTCAGCGCGGTGCGCACTGCGAGACCTAGCAGATTCCATCCTGTGTTTGGGCTGTTACGTTTCTGGCTAAGATTACTCAGCAATACAAGTGCTTGGACGGATGACAGGCTAGCGGCTTCAAACACCGATTCATCCTGGCCAACCGCGAGGGCTCGACGATACAGATAATCTTCGAGGCCGACTTGATCATTATTCACAGTCCACGCACCAAGGGCTATAATCGCGTGGTACAGCATGTCCCAAGATCTTTTCGGTGGCCGAGGAACCACCTCGTAATACTGCGCGCGAAATGTTGCCTCATGAATGAATGGGTACACAACATGATAGTTGAGGAAGTATGCGTCAATGAGGCTGCCCGCAAGCTGCTTGACGAGAGCAGAATGCGAGACATGCGATGAGGCCATGACTTTTCTGAAAGATGAAGACGTTTCCACGGCATGTTTCTGAGGTGGTGCTCCAGTTTGATGTAGAAACCCAGCCCAATCTAGCAAGCAACGCAGAAATACGACACCAGAAGTTGAACCTGAATCACGTTAGTGCCATATGCTTTTGTCGACGTAGGTAAGCTAACCTAGATATCCTACTCCTGTTGGCTCTACTGAAAGGGCAGCCATGCCATCGGTTAACCCGTCTATATTGACGTCTTCTTCTTTCCAATTAAATCCATCAACATCGTTCGGCACAGCTTCGGGAAGAGGAGGTTCATTTGAGTTAGATTTAGTGCTGCCCTGAGGGCTGAGCGCGGCTTCTGGTGTTCGTGACTGGAGAATCTGTGGGGTTGGGATGGCTGCGTTGGGAGAAGAAAGGAGCTCTTCGATATCGACGCCCGGTACCAGCTGAGCGACCAGCGCTTCCAGACTGTGTAGCCGTTTCTCTACGCTCGTAAGGTATGCCCTGGTCAGTGGCGATCTGATGATCTTGCCACTGTAATGGCATTGCGCGCCGCTGTGGGCACAGGCAGTGCAGAAGGGTGATTCTTTAGAGCATTTGAGCTTTTTTGCACGACAGCGGTCGCACGACAGGGCATCCTTTGGTCTTCGGTGCTCCATGCATGAGACGAGTTTAGTGTGGAAGAGGTGGGGACAGATGGAATTGCAGAGAGAATCGGAGCACCGGACAGCAACGCGTCCGCTGATCTCTACGGCAATCGGACCGACGGGATGTGCCACTTACAGCCACTTACAGCCACTTACAGCCACGCTAGCCACCCCACCTCTGGGCATTTCAACATACGCCTTTGAATGGTGAATGTATCAACACAACAGTAGTTTGAAGGGGAAACCCTTAGCGACTGGGAGAATAAGAAATGGGTTGAACCCATACATTCAGATGGTCATCAAGAGCCAAGCCTTCCATTCGCAACACTTCCGCCATAGCCACTTCTCTCAACTAGCTTGAAAAAGACTTAGCTTAGTTGAGCCCCCTGATTAGAGCTTCGAAAACTTGGAATTGTACTTAATTCTGTGTAAGACATTCATAATGAGTCAAATGCAACGCTTGTCGTTACTATTTTAGGTAATGAGAAGGGCATGGCCGAGTGCCACCACCTAAAAGGGGTTCTCTTTCAACGCCACGTGGGCTAGATGGGTCTAGCCTGTCAACCTTGCCACCCGCAATTGCATGAAATGCTACGGCTCGCAATCTATCCTGAATTGGCGAAATTTCGACTTGTAAGATATGTGACCTATATAGATGGAGGGAAATCTACGTCCTAATCCGCCCATATAAGAGGGAGTGTGGAGTACTTTTCCTTTCTTTCCATTTCTCGATCAGTTCCCTCATCATCCAGTGAAATTGACTCTAACTTTCTACTCATTTCATTCATATAACAAAACCACTCAACACGATGGGGAACGCAATTTCCGATATGTTGAAGGAGGCGGATGAGAACAAGGAGACTGACGCCAAAGAAGAATTAGAAATGTTGCAAGAGATGATCAACGCAGTCCTAGACAGATTTGAGAGTGAGATCACAGAGTGAGCATAGGCTGCCTCAAGCCCAAAGGGTTCAATTGCTCATGAGTTGATGTTAGGAAATTCTTGAATGCAGAGCCTACAGCGAAGACTGAAGTTCCCGGGATCCCTCCCCTTTGGAAAAAACGTTTCTCAGCAGGCAAGATTCTAGATAAAGTATGTTATTGGTCTAGATAACTTCTTCACTCAGTATTGATATGTGGTCTCTTTGTAGCCCGCAGATGCAGTTGGTGGTGCTATTGATGCCATTTTTGGAGCTGTCACGGGAGGCGGTACGAAAGAGAAACTGGCCAATGGATTCAAGGTATGACTTGACTTAATAAACTCGTGACTTAGCTAAACTCTTGGGGTCTAGAAGGTTGTAGGGACTGCACTGAACCAGTTCCTCAGCAATACGGAGATCGGCGTCACAAATACAAATAACTACTTCATTTATGTGCACCATGACGCAATCGTTCGCATCGATCTCAGAGTGAGTCACAATCAGCTACTGAAAAACATTTTTGTTAACAATGGTAGATGTGGCGATGGAATTTTCCTAGTGGAGGCTTCAAGATTGTTGATAAAGGTGTCCTAGGATGTAAGTGTTCAAATTTTTCCATTTCATAGTGCACACGACTGACCAATTGGACAAGACATCTACTGTATTTCAGTAGTTGATGTTGGCGTTCTGAAGATTCCAGAGTTTATTTACCTCATAAGTGAACACGCTGGTAAGGCCATCCGCAAGTCAATCAACCAGCTGCTAATCTGAACCCCTAGGAGACGAAGAGAACGAAGTCGAGCATTACTGCGAGCAAATGGGTAGGATATATGCCGCCGCACGCAAAAAGAAACTGAGCGAAAAGGCCGCCATCACGACGAAATAGTATTAATAAAGTGGCACTGTCCTTCTTGTACATGGATAATGTTAAATTGTATCAAAATCTTGACCATTGTATTAACCCGCAGTCGAATTATGGCTCTGTTGATCCTTTAAAAATTGCTTGTCTTTATATCTCCTTGCCAAATGAACACTACAGTTGAACAGCTGTGGCCGCGACCAAGACGTCCATATACAAGTCTCTCTCTCTCTCTCTCTCTCTCTCAAAATGGTAATTCCATCGGCCCAAACTGCTTTACCACAGCACTGAGACGCGCGACAATTGCCGTATTACCTGCGCCTACCAGGTCCTTGGCATCTAAACTAAATAGTCGGTGTATAGCAGACTCCTGTATCCTCCTCTACATTGTGTCCAATAGCAATGACTAGGAACAGGCTGGAGACGACGAGGCTGCCTAGTGGAAGCGATTTGGAGCAAAGGAATGGGACGACTTAGAGATAACATGACGTCGATGCGAGGCGCTACCTCTCGCCAGCGGTTAAACTACTGCAAATTGGTGACCTTAACGCACATAACCAGATGAATGAGCACACTGCGGAACTAGAAAGCCTAAAAAACTTATTCTATACAATACATCCATGATATGAAAGAAGAAGCCCGGTATCGGTGGCCACATCTAGCGTACACTGCACATGCAGAAAGTCCGGGGTTAGCGTCGGCAATTCTCCAAACGCCTCAACGTACCCACAACGCCATCACGCCATCCTTTTCCTTCTTTTCCCCATCATACTCTGAATCCCAAGCTTGAGAAATCCCATTCAAACCGTCTACCGATATATGTATGTCAATGCCCATTAAGCCATTACACCATGACCAACATCTCAACTTGGCCGTGTGGGGATCCGATTACCTAGCGCCAAAAAGTACTGCTTCACGACCAACAAAAAAAAAGACATGATTATATATGATATATCGTGCATCCATGCATGACAACAATTGAAATTTGATTTCCCCATCTTTTCAAACAAGAATAAACAAAAAAATCAATCCACAATGTCACAAACCACCACAGCCGGTGTATCCACCGCCGAAACCACCACCCTCCCCACCACAATGCGCGCCTGGCAATGGACAACCTGCACCACAACCCTCGAATCCGCACTCCAAATCAACAACTCAGCCCCACTCCCAACATCCCACCGCCCCTTATCCTCCGGCGAATCCCTAATCCGCGTGTACGCCGCAACTCTCAACCAAGTCGACTACAAATTCGCCGAACTCCCCCTAATCCCACGCCTCGCCATCCGCAAACCCGCAACTCCCGGTCTCGACTTTGCGGGCCGCGTCGTATCCACGGGCCCGGACTGCGGCGTCAAAGTGGGCGAGATGGTGTTCGGGAAGTTGGAGCCTAAATGCCAGTTTGGGACGCTGGGGGAGTACGTTGTGGGATCGAGGGTGGGTACGGTTCCGGTGCCTGAAGGGGTGGGGGTGGAGAGTGCGGCGGCGATGGGGGTGTGTGGGTTGGTTACTTATCAGAGTCTTGCGAGGAATGTGAAGAGTGGGGATCGAGTGTTGGTTAATGGGGGGTCTGGGGGGACGGGCACGTTTGCGGTGCAGATTGCGAAGGCACTGGGGTGTCATGTTACAGTGACTTGTTCGGGTATGTATGCGCGGCGTGAAGATGAGGCTATGGTGGGAATGTGCTAATGTTTGACAGGTGCGAATGTGCAGCTTTGCAAGGATCTGGGCGCGGATGAAGTGATTGATTATAGGAAGAACGATGTCGCTTCTGTTCTTGCGAGTGGGTCCAAGCAATATGACATGATTCTTGATAATGTTGGGCATCCGTCAGAACTGTATTGGAAAGCTCCAGAGTTCACGAAGCCAGGGGCAAAGTACGTACAGGTTGGATCGCAAGTCAGTCTATCATTTCTCTACGACCTCGCATTCCGGTTTTTGGTTCCGACATGGCTGGGTGGTGGCCAGCGCCCGTTTTCGTTTGGGTTCGCCTTGACGAACTTTGACGACTTTACTGCGCTGGGAAAGCTAGTGGCGAGCGGAAAGGTGAAGCCAGTGATAGATGAGGTGTATGAGTTTGAAGATGTACCGAAGGCGTACGGAAAGTTGAGAACGGGTAGGGCAAGGGGGAAAATAGTGGTGAGAATGGGAAACGAAGAGAAATACTGAATGATGAGATGGTCGTAAAAGCCAAGTGCCTTTGAATTCACAAATCCTGGGAGCACTTCCGGAAAAAGTGGCACAACTCATGTCCATTGCATTGCTTCGCACTGGTGTGTGATGTGATAAAACGAAGAGAAAAGACCTCTCGTCCTCTTCTTACCAAAAAAAAAAGTTCAACACAAAACAGACATTCTTTTCCTTCTTTTCTCAACAAGCCCTATTAACGCCAAAAGCGCCCATACACATACATGTGTCCTACCCATTAGGATCGCTAGTGCATCTTCGCTCTCCTCGCCTTGCCTGGCCGTTTGCTAGCGCCACCACCGCTGCTGGGCTTACCCTTCATTTTGCGAACAGAGAAACCCCGGCCATCAGCGCTAGACTGTGCATCGTTGCTCTTAGAATGCCTCTTCTTGCCTCCGAAACCGTATTTTGCATCTTTCTTCTGGCGCTTGGCGTTAAAGGCTTTACCATCGGCGCCACCGCGGCCGGCGCGACGGTCAGACTTGGAGTCTTCAGCTGTGGCGGCGACGTCAAAGAGGTCTTCTTCGTTGGTGGAGGTAATGTCTGCGCCTTGTCGCTCTGTCATATTTGTTAGTGTATACATCTTTGCAGGTGGACTCGGAAACGTACTTCGCTTGAGGGTGTTAATCTTGTCCATGGTATCCCGCTTTTCCTTTGCACGCTCCTGCATCTTCGCGACCTGGACCTGCTTGCCAAACTTCTTCAAGTCTCTCTGCTTGCGCGCCTCAGCAGCCGCCTTCTTGCCAGCCGCGGCATCAATCAGCTTCTGCTTAATCTTGCCCATGTGTTCGTCGCTCTTAACCATCTCCGCAAAATAATCTGCGGGTCGTGAAAAAGGCACACCCTCCTTCTTGAGCTTTTGTCGCGCCTCCTTGACAGAGGACAGGCACTGCTTGTAGAATGCGAGCTCGCGGTTGAGGTCATCTTCAACATCGGGAATCTCAACGGGCTCATCCGTGGTTACAGATTGGTGTTCTGAGAAGGCGAGCTTCGAGTAAGGCAATTGTATGCGGTGCAGGGCGGCGGTGAGGGCGGCGGTGTTGTTGATTGTGAGCCGTTGATGGGGGATGATGTCGCCCTTGTCTTCCGAGGCGATGGAGTCGAGATCTGAAAGCGCAATGTCTTCTTCGTCATCGTCATCCTCGTCATCCTCGTCCTCTTCATCCTCGTCCTCGCCTTCTTCGTCATCCTCAGCCTGCATCTCCTCCTCATCCGAGCTAATGTCGCTCTCACTGTCGTCGAGGTGCGAAAGGTCGACCGCAGGTCGCTCAGACTCCTCGTCGTCATCGCTCTCATCCTCGCTACCCTCCGTCTCCCACTCAACCTCTTTGACGGCGGGCGCAGTCTTTGGCGACTTGCCTTCCTTCTTGTCCTTCTTCTCCTTCTTTGCCTTGCCATTGACCTTGACCTCTACCTCATCCAGCGGCACTCCTCCCTCCTCGTCATCCTCATGCGCTTCATCCCCATCGCGCTTCTGTTTCCGCTTCTGCACCTGTTTCTCATGCTTGCGCTGCTTCTCAAGCTTGATATTGCGCCCTTGCTGGTGAATAAGCGCAGTCTTGAGCTTGCTTTTCCCCATGCTTGTCGTATGTTTTGCGCGCAATAAGACAAACTATCAAAAAAAAAGTGTTGTAATGTCGAAAAGTGAAGTTGCAATTCCTGGGAGGCGCGGAAACAAAAAACGTTAGTGTCCAAGCTTTCCCAAAATTTCACAATTCCACAAGTTTGCCCAAAGGGCAGAAAACCAGCAATTTTTAGCGTTACGCGCTAGTGATGCTCACCGCCTTGACAAAATAGGAAACTGACCGCGGCGTCCGAATAACGAAACACGTGCTTTCGTGTTGTGCCCCCCCTTCACACCGCCCGCCGCCCGCACCACCCGTAACACGCGACATCGATTACAAGTCCATAGTTCACCAAAAAAAAACCCCCCCCCACACTACTTCAAACCACCCATATACACTTTTCTTTATAAAGCAACTCACACCATGGCAACCCCCCAACCCCTAGGCGACCGCTCCCAAAGCGACACCGCAGTACGTCTTCCCTTCCCTTCCCCCACCCAACCATATCCGTACATCCCCTCCCAAACTAACAAAGTCCTATCTTAGTCCGTCTCCTCAAACAACCCCGAAGCATCAGGCGAACTCACAGCAGTCGTAGACGACCTGCTCAACCAACTGAATACCAAATTCAACTCGATAAGTAGCGAGTTGCTTTCAAAAAGTAAGTATGAAACCCCCCAAAGAAGATAGACATTTCCCTGTTGTTTTGAAAAACGAACGATGTGAGTGGCATGGAGAGCTAATGATTTTTTGTTTATTTGTAATTTTTTAGTGGATGATATGTCAAGACGACTTGATAATCTCGAGGCTACGATTCAGAGTGGGGATGGGAGTAAAGGGAGTGGATCGGGGAAATGAGATGGGGTTGGGTATTGACTGGAGAGTTTACGAGTATCAACGGGCGGGTTCTCACGGCTTATATGTTTGTTGGAGTTTAGAAGAGTCGATAACATGCATTTACAACGCTTGCAAATTGATATTCAGTTTGATATATCTACAAACTAGCTTATCCATGTCTCTTCTTGTCATTTCCTTGTAGCGCTCTTGCACCACGTGTATTCTTATCCTGTTTATCATAACGCATCTACGCCAATGGTATCAACATCTCCCCAACGTCATACACCACTACACAAGACGAGTCGTCTACAACTCAGTCTTCTCTTCCTCACCAATGAACTTCTTCAGGATGTTGCTCCTGCTCATCAAGTCATCCATCTTCTCAGGTGCGAGGTTGCCCTTGGCAATGAGGCCTTGCAGACGCTTGAGCTCCTTCTCAGCGTACTCCTTGTTGGCACCAATCTTCGAGAAGACCTTGACGTAGTATTGTGCGTACTTGTCTTGCAGGGTAGCAGCAAGAGTCTTGGCCTCCTCGGCTCCATCGGCCCATGAGTCCTTGAACTTCTCAATGACGGCGTTGAAGGCCTCGATAGTGCCACCAGTAGCATCGAGACCTCCACCGACAGCACGGTGAGTGCCAGCGTTGGCGTTGAGGAAATCGATAAAGTCCTTCTCATCGCGAGCACCATTGTATGGGAGAGCCTCGGTAGAGCCCTTGGCAAAGTACTTGATGGTAGGGTAGCCAGAGACACCTTGTTCCTGAGCAAGGGCCTTGGAGTTCTCAGCTTCGGCGTCGACCTTGGCGATCAAGACATCGGGCTCGTTGACGAAGTCGTTGGCGAGAGTCTCCCAAACGGGGGCGAGGGTCTTGCAGTCTGTATGCACGTCAGCAAAGGACAACTTGACAGATTGGAAGCATAAAACGTACGTCCGCACCATGGAGCAGTAAAGGCAACAAGCACATTCCGGTCCTTTCCAACCTTCTCCTTGAAGCTCTTGTCATCAAGGTACACAACCTGACTGGGAAGCTTGGCCTTGATCTTGGGCTTGATGGAGGTGTTCTCAGTAATGAACTTGCTCAAGCTCTCCAGATCACGTCCGCCCTTGTAATCGACAGGCTTGTCGGTCTTTCCATCAAACCACTTGAGGGTGGGGAAACCTGAGACGCCATAGCGCTTGCCCAGCGACTTGTGGTTATCCGCGTCAACCTTTGCAACGCTGACCTTGTCACCGGCGTGCTGGAAGACGGTAGCGAGTTCCTCGTAGACGGGGGCAAGGTTCTTGCAGTGACCGCACCAGGGGGCAAAGAACTCTACGAGGGCGGGCTTGCCGGACTTGAGGACAACATCATCGAAGTTGGAGGGGTTGAGGTCAATGACGGCCTCTGCCGAAGCAATGGCGGGGAGCAGCGCAAGTACCGCGGGTATGAGGTTGCGGAACAACATTGTAGGGGTTTGAGAGGAGGAAGCTCAAAACGGTGCAATTGGGAGCTCCAAACTTATGTTGAAGAGCGGTGGGGAACACGGAGTCGAGCTAGAGGGCTTGCCTCCAGGGTCCTGCGCTGGCGATCGCTTAGCACGCAAGGTGTCCTCTCTTACCCAGCCATCTGACCAGGGTTTACAAATCCACCGTCACTGCAACGAATGGTTTGATTTCAAATCTTGCCACACAAAGCAATTGCTGATCCTGGTCTTGGATGTGGGTATGGACACGTGAAAAATAGTTACTGTATGGATACCATAGGCTATTCTCTTCCATACAGAGAGCTACTAGCCACCCCGCATCCCAACTAGAGTACTGCATGTATACCGAACCCATCAAAATGCAAAAATAGATTATACTTATATTCTCAATTCGGGGGTATCATCACACGACACTAATTCAACGACATCTTCCAATGATTTCCTCCCGTCATCCCATAACTCCCACTGACCGTCTTCTCTTCTTCTTCCTCCTTCACATTCTCCGTCGCCTTCTTTGCCTCCTCAGCCTTCTTCGCCTTCTCTTCCATCGCTTTAACCTCCCCACCGGCCTTCTCCACCATCGCCTTCAACCCCCTCACATCCGCACCCCTAACCTCCTCCACCTTCTTCCCGTCCTTGAATAGCATAAACGTCGGCATAGCCGTCACGCCATATTGCCCCGCTATTTCGCGCTGTTCATCGACGTTAATCTTGACGAAAGCGAACTTTCCAGGCACGGAGTATGTGTTTGAGAATTGATTGTAGACAGGTGCGATTTGTTTGCAAGGTGGACACCAGGTTGCGTAGAAGTCTGCGATGAGGTAGGTGTGGGCGTTTAGGAGGGTGCGGAAGTGGAGGGGAGCGGAGATTTCTGTTGGCATGGCTGTCTTGGGTGTTCAAATGCTTCTTTTTAATGTAATACTGGAATATGTTTGTGGAGTTGGGCTGGGTAGGTTGGGAGCAGGTTGGTTTGAAGTCGTGACTTTTTTTAAGAAGTTGCAATGTTGTAGAACATTCTATCCGTACTGAGCAAAGGACCTTCTCGCCGGCCCCAAATTTGTAATCGACGCAATCATCACGTGTCGCCATACTTGCTTCTTGTGGTAGTCGGTGATAGTAACAAGTCGAGTTCTGATTACACAAAGTGTATTTGCACATTAGTCACATACGCCCGGAAATGACTTTCATATCACATGTATCCCGCAAAACAGCGCACCCATTCTGCTGCACGCGACCTTGAAATCGAACATACGTATATTTGACACACGCTCTACAAGGACCAAAAAATATCCAGAAACCACAAATGCAGTCCAGCCCACAACGCCCTCGCTATGCAAACATTTCATCACGCATACCCATCCATCTCATACCGCCACTCATCCCCCACCCCTGCCCAAGATCTCCTCCCTCTCCAGCACCTCCGGCTTAAACTTGATCAAAAACACCGTCTTCCCAGGCCAAAGCCCCTTCCCATCCTTACCCTCCTCCTCGCCTACACTATGCGCCGTGACACCCTCAGTCGGGAACCCCGCACCGTCGCACACGCCCTCGATAATGCCCGCCACAAACGCCGCGCAGTTGAGACTCGACAGCTCCTTTGGTAGCGAAATGTACTGGTTGACCATGGGCTCGTTATCGAACAGCATGTACTGTCCTGGGTCTGTGCCCGACTTTTCGAGGGCGTCGGCGGGGCGGCCAAACAGGTAGCGGTACAGTTGTTGAGCAATAAATTGGAGGAGCGGCAGGATGCGCGTGGGGCGGATCGAGGCGAGGGGGTTAGCGGTGCGGGAGAGGAGGAGGTCAAGGAGACGGAGGCCGATGGGGTAGCCTTGGCTGTTTAGTCTAAAGCGATGTTAGCATAGCCATGTCCTGTATGTATGCAGATAGAGAAGGCGTGGGGTTTGCGCGCAATGAGAAATGTACCTTTGCTCCAAGCCGCCCACGTCTTTTGCGCCCTTTTGCGCATAGGCAATCATTTCGATGAAGAGGTATGCAAAAGCTGCGCGGCTGAGCTCTGCATTCTTGCTCCGATTCAGGTTGCGGTCGTATATCGTCTTCTTGTTCGAGGGGTATCGTAGGCCCGACCCTTGACTGGGCGTCCCGTTCATGGCGAGGTTGTGGCCCGGCGGCGGCAATTGAACTGCGGACTGCGGGCGGGCCGTGGATGCAGACGGGGATGCTGATGCGGATCTGGCTAGGGCGGCAGATTGCGAGTAGGAGCGTTCGCGCGGCGTGAAGTGCGAGGGCAGAAGTGGTAGCAAGTTGGACATGGTTGGCTCTCTCGACCTCGCCGGAGCGGTTTGGCGGAGCAATGTGGGTCGGAGGGTCGTGCGGCGTGCGTCAGACTGCAACTGACTTGGGAGCGATTATGAGGCTGGAGATGCCAAGCATGAGGACGACGACAGTTGTACATATATCATCGTCCTTCCCTTGGAGGAGTTGCAACTGAAAAACGGGCCGAATGTATCCACAAGTATCGAATACGAGTTTCTGGAGTATTACACATTATTTGATTATCATCATTACCATCATTATCATCATCTTCTAGAAGCGGTGAACAACTACTCGGCGCTTCCCAATGCCCCTGTAGATACATACACCTCTTCATCATGGAATGCTTTCGTATAACGACAGGGAGCCTCCAAAGCACGCCTGGAGTGCTGACCGTCATTCCCCACCTCTCTCTCGATATAGCCATTCAGTCCATTGAGCATATTCTCGTACACCACCTTCACATTCCTCTTCTTCTGTGAGAACCCACAAGAAAAACCTAACCACTCTTCTTTCCAAGCCCACGCCATTCTTTGTACCATTACTCGATATCTACAGTCCAGTCTATCTGGCGCTGGTTCAACTCCACCATGATGCGCTGAACGTCGACACGTCGAACCTCACATTCAATCGGGACCACAACAACAGTATTATCCGGATCGATAGCAGCATCACGCATGTGCGGAACGCCAGACTGCTCTGTTTCAAGCTCTGCGCGAAGAACTTCATTCAGTTTCCTTTGTTCCTGCATCGCAGCCAGAGTATCATCGCGTTCCTTCTTCATTTTGCGTTGAGATGCGAGATGGCGTTGCTTGGCTTCCATCGCTTCTTTCGCTTTTTCCTCCTCTTTACTGGCAGCTTGCTTAGCATTCTTCACCTTTGTGTTTGCACCTTTGAGTTTGTTAGCCTTGCTCTCGTTTTGAGTGCCAAGGAGGACATTCTCGCGCTCAGTCATCTTGTGCGTCTCCTTCGGTTGAGCGTTCTCTGCACGCAGGCGTACCGTTTCGCTTTCCAGGCGATTAATGCCGCCCTGGATGTCGCGAGGGAGCTTCGAGTAACCTCTATCTCTGGATGTCCGCTGATCCAGTTCTGCAATGGTCTTGCCATGCTCTTCAGCTTGTGCCTTCCAATAATCATACTGTTTACTGAGATGTGCAATGGTGGATCGAAGACGCCTCTGTTCGCTCGCTCCTTCTTCCAGCTCCTCGTCGTTCATGTCCGCCGCCCGCAATGATTCTCCATGTTTGGCTTCAGAGACTTCATGCCTGTATGGGTAGGCCGTCAAGTTGTCCAGGCACGAGTCAGCGGGTTCAAAGAAAAGCATGTCTAGATTGAAACTCATCTGTCACTAGTTAGTATTAGTGGATCATGGATCATTGATGATACCGTACCGTGAGTTGCAGCCAAGTTAGTAGAGTCAATGCTGCAGGTTGCAGTGAGAAAAAACCAATGTGGATGAAGTGAGATATATACGTAATGGGACAGCGCACCAACCGTACATTCATCGCAAAATCAACTAGCTCGTCTTTCACTGCGTCGCCCGCTTGGCAGAACTCCACCTCTACTTAACGCAAGGCTGTACAGGAAATGAGACATTATGATTATCAGGACAGTCCAGGCAGTACATTGAAGCGCGGAGCTCAGCAGAACCGTATTCGTAGCGATTTACCCACCCATAAGCTCGACTGCATACCTCTGCTTCATTCTAGAGCACCCAGTCTGTCTATTACGCGTACGAGGTCTTTCACTCGGAATGGTTTGGAGATTGCGTCATCCATCCCGGCCTCCGTAGCACGCTTCAGCTGCTCAGGTCTTGCGTTTGCAGTGACAGCAACTATTTGAAGGTGTTTGTTGATCTGCCCATTGTTTTGCGCGGTGCGTATCATCTTTGCACATTGGAGACCGTCCATGACAGGCATTTCAACGTCCATAAGAATGACATCGATGCATGAATCTGAGGCAGTGGTACCTGGATACGCCTTCCAGTGTCGTGAAGTCTTGATAAAGTCAAAGGCCTTCTGTCCATTGTCTGCCGTGTGAACAATATAGCCGTGTTGTTGTAGCTGCTTCTTCAAGACGCGTTGATTGACCATGTTATCTTCAACAAGAAGAACACTCAACTGTCGTTTATCTCGAGACTCGGGGCTTTGTGGACCGACAGGATGTCGAGAGGTATTACTAGCTTCTGTGGGCCTACTGGGTGAGGTAGGAACAATAAGAGCAGATTCCGGTGAAACTGCTCGCGAAGCTTTAGCGTAAAAGGCGAAAGTTGATCCTGCATTTTCTTGCGATGCGAAACCAATCTCTCCACCTTGCAGAGCTACGAGTTTTCGGCTAATGAAAAGTCCCAACCCAGAACCGCCATACTTGCTGTATGTTTTGGGGGAAGCTTGTATGAACCGCGAGAAGATACGTTTCATGGAAGCAGAGTCCATACCACAGCCTGTGTCCTTCACGCTACACCATAGATAGAGCTCCTGCCCATTTGCTGCTATAGCTGCCTTGGCCTCTTCTTTTTGCGAAGAGCTTGGAGATGCTACCATCATCAAGTCGGCGAATATATCTGTCGGGCGAGAAGAGGAAGCGCCAACACGGAGAGTAACGTTTCTAGTTTTGGGGCTATCTTTTGTGAATTTGATAGCATTGGCAACCAAGTTTACGAGAACCTGCATGATTCTGCCTGGATCTGCTTCGATCCAGTCAACCCCGAGCTGAGTGAGAGAGGGATCGGGTGTTATTGTGAATGTGACACCAGCCTGTGTAGCTTCGAACCTGAACGTGCTCTCGACTTGCTCGAGAAAGGTCTTCACTTGGAACGCCGAGGGACATATCTCTAGGAGGTTGGAGTCGAGCTTTGAGATGGAGAGAATGTCGTCAATGATTCGCTTTTGATGTACTGTGCAAGCCATGATAGTGTCGGCAGCTTCAATCATGCTGCTCGTACATTCTTGAAGTCGTTTCGTGGTCGTTTTGTGGTCTACGTCACGCGCATTTTGACGGCTTGTGCGGTCGAGTATCAATTTCATTTCGGAAAGCGAATGCGACAAAGCGTCTGCACAGTGCATAACGGCACCTAGAGGATTTCGAATCTACGACTTGTTAGACGATGATTTTCACTTGACCAGATAGAAATACGTGCCTCATGACTAGTCATATCGACAAAACTACGCTAGGTTAGTTGACTAACACACTCTTGGATAGAAGAGCACTTACTTTTCTTGCTGTCGCTTGGATTCAATAGCCTCCTCGAGCTTTGCACGCTGAAGAAGCTCAGAGTACTTGAATTCGCTGATGTCGGTAATTGTAGTCGTTGTTTGGAGAGAGCCATCGTCTACCATGTCTGGAAAGGCGGCAAATTGCACCCACGTGTGCTCCGAGTAATTGGGCGCTCCTTTGCGAAGACTTTTCAACCGAATGTGAAAGCTCTCAGGCTTTCGAAATTTGAAAACATTTTCCAGGCGTGCATCAAACTCCGAAACATCCTCAGGGAAAACAATGGAGCGAAGTTGAATACTCTTTACTGGCGTTGAAGGATGACCCGTCATCTGAAACCAGGCCTTGTTGACAAAAGAGGGCTTTCCTTTCTCGTCAAACACCAGAACGCCGATATTCGCATTTTCAATGAAGTTCAAAAGACGCGATTTGTTCAGCCGAACTTGGTCCGAGGCCCCAGCAGCATCGGCAGTGGCCTCATATTCGATCTTTTGTTGAACGTCGAGGGCTGCTACACAACCTGTAATGCTTACAACCCCAAGTGCATTATCAAGCATAGGAACACAGGCTATCTGTACCCATTTTCTTTCACAGCCATGAGGCCGAAACCTTACTGCGAGTGTTGTTGACCGGCCATCCACCAAGGACTGCCAATGGGATGTTAGAAGTGGCTGATCATCTTGCTCGCAAAGCTCCATTAACATTGTCTGATACCGTACATCAACGTCTCTGGAACAACCACTCAAATTACAAAACGCTTCCTGTTTGCCGTTAGTATACGCATTTTGACTCGCTTTCTTTTCTCACATTAGTTTGCGTCAGCTTTCCTGACAGGGTACATTCGAAAAAACCGATACTTTTGCTAAAAGGTCAGCACAGCTCATGCCTATGATGCGGAAGACTAACCTGGCAGCTTCGATTACTTGCAACATGCGCTGCATCTTGCCTGTCGCCAACACAGCCTCTTGTTGCCTCAATTGCATTTCCTTTGCCAGCATCTCCTTCTCTTTTGCTATCAGATTTTGGTCGTTTTCTTTCGCAAGCCTCCTAGTCTCGGCAATTGTAATTGCTGCTACACTGCTGCAAAAATGTTGATGCAGCGTCCCCACCCATGCCTGATAGGAAGAATCATAGGGACACCGTGGTGCCAGTCCAAGGATCAATACAGCGTAAACGTTTCCGGATTTGCCCATGATACTAGGTAGAATGACTGCCTGGTGAGAATCATCGCCATAGCACCGGTCCCTAGATGCATGGCACATCTCTGGTGGCAAAGATCCGTCTGTTGCATGAAGGAGCTCAGGAACACGCAAATCAACGGCTTTGTAGATAGTCTTAACCCATGCCTGATTCTCGCCGCGCTTGATCCTTGATGGGAGCGGTGTTGTGAAGGAGCCGACAGTGCCAGCAAGTTTGAATTCGTCGGTGCTAATCTCATTCGATATGAATCCGGTCTCATGTTCACGCACGAGCTTACTGTCGGCAAAGTATATGGCCGCAAACGATATATCACCATTACCATTCGATATACCACGCAATGTTGAAGCCCACAAGGCATTCAGATCTGTGGCATCTTTGGAAGCACGACGAATGTGATCTAGCGACCGCTCACGACGACGCTGCAGCACTTCCTGGGTCGTGTCGTAAGCTGTGACGTGGTACCCATCTAAGGATAATGGTAATTTTACCATTGTCGCTCTGAGAAAAACCTCCTGGAGAATGCCATGCTGTGGGAAGAAGCAGGGTATTTGGTTTTCGTTGTCCAAGCCGGACCCGTCATTTTCTGGCTGTGTGAGTCTTGGTATTGCGGGACCATGCCCAACCATTGCAGTGTTGAGGGCTATTGGTCTGCCTTGGTACAGCGGGTGATAATCGCGGAGCAACCTGCCATATGCTGTGTTGTACAATATGGTCGAATCACGGCCTAATAGGAATATTTGGGGCTGGGGGCTGAGCATGGCCAGGTTGATGAGCACCAGTAATTCGCGAGGCCATTCTGCAATGGGTCCAGGAGCGGTATCGGCCCAGTTGAGCTCGCGTATGTACTGAAGGTCGGAGTCAATAGCGGAATCCCCGGTCGGTTCAGTGAGGAACGACAGGTGAGATTTAGCACCTGCATGTTCAGCAGTCTCCAGCTCCGTCGACATGGTTGTGTTGACGGACACGCGACGTCAAAAATACCCCGTGGAAGCTGGGAAGTGGGTAGGATGGGGGCTGTTATCAGGGCAGACAGCCTCTGATGGCTGGAAGAACGAAGAGGTCAGCAGGCAGCGAGACAGACACCTCCAGGTCCTCTATACCAGCAAGACCATGCGAACAAATGGCTCTCGGTCAGTTCTCGGTGAAGTCCGTCCTGGATGCGGTGGGTAGCCGATGGCCGCATCTAAATTGCCGCCCACGCACCCTGGTTGGGGGAGCTTGACACCGACGCTTGAGACATGACCGCAGTTGGCCCGCGTGAATCACCGGCCATCGACAAAGGATCGCGTGTAGTGTTTGGAACTATAGCGTTGCTAGTCGCGGGTACCTGGAAAATTTTGAACCGGCGATTTCGAGAAGATTGACCAGCGGCACTGGCGAACTAGTCGAGGGCTGCTAGTGTACACGGCGTGTGTGTAAACTCGTGTCTGCTAGCTGGAGCATTGTACATGTTGAAGGAGGCAGAGGCTGTAGTACTGCCGACACAGCCGCTCGATTGTGTCATGATTCGCTGCAGGGACAAATACCCCCGTCCTCGCTTGGCGTCTGGAATGACGAAAAACGCGTGTAGTTCGCCACTCGATGACGTCGGCCTGGACGGGACAGCCTTCGCATCCTGACTAGCTCCCGTTATTAGGCATTTTTTCTCCTGACTTTGGTTCGAGTAAGCATTAGCGGAATCCATGACGAGACGCAGACTTGCTCGCAGCTTCGCTCAACAGCTGCAATTTCCGTTGCCTTTGCTGTACGCCGACGTGGTGGTCGTCTGTTGTCTGGACAACGCCGGCTCCTGGCGGTAGCCCCCATGTCGATCTTGTCGAGTATCAGTGTACGTACATGTACATGCATGGCATGGCAAGTGTTATTTAACCCCGTTGACATGCGTTATTTGACACGGCGGCTTCCTATACAACTCTAGCGCTTATGTTAGTGCAATAACATATCCACTGTTGTATTCTATCTTTTCATGGCTAGTCTATGATATTCTTCTCTCGCACAGAGTATCTGCGCACCTTCGCGTCGCAGTAAAGATAATGAGTATTCTGTGAGAATATCCGTTATTTATATGGTATACTATTACTTGTATATCTTGTCAGACTTTCAAGTCTGTCTCTATAATATCTACTACGGTGTAAAGGTATGAAAATGCAAGGAAATGTTATCTTCTTTATGCAGAAGTCAAGATTGAAAACCGTTTTAAACCCATCTATTTTGGGATACGACGGGGTCCAATAGCCCAAATCAGCGAGGCCAAGTGCCTTCCGCCGCATGGCATGTGAACAAGGGCTACTGTACTGAAAATTGCATAGGTAATAAGTCGACCACGAACTCGGCGAAGATGTGCACAATGTCTGGTATTATAGGACAGCCAACGCTATAATACTGTGCAGGCTGACACCACCTTCACGAAGGTGATATCTTCGAGATGATTCGGAAGGTCAACGTCCGCGTCCAACGGTACTTGGCAACGTTAGAACCAAACCGGGGGTAGCCTCATCAACACGTGCTGCAAGGACAGCGATATAAGTACGTAGTGTGTACATGTGGACTACGTATGCACGGGGTGATGGGGTTATGTTATCAAAACGGAGTTGGTGCCACATAGGTCACAGCTCAACAGGGGTTACTGTTGTTGACCTCGCCCGCTTTGAGAATCGGATCGACCCCTCAGACCCCACAAAAGATCACCGTTTCTCTGAGCCGATTTCTAGCCATGCATGGCGCGATACAACCAGACCTCCCATCGAGCAAACTTTATTGGTTGCTATACGCGGCGGTTGTATGGTGTTGCACTGTGCTTTTAAAATTGTTTAAGTTTCAATAGATACTCACAGCCATTACATGAAAAGCCATTCCAGAAGTACGATGGAGCAATCTCCTGAATCTCCATACTCTGTTCGCCCAGTGCAGTTGTCGCCTATGATGATTTGCATAGTGCTGACCGGCAATTGACCCGGAAAAGAAAAGTCGGCGAGAAAAGAAACACTTTTGTCATCGTGCATGCTTCACGTCTTGCCTGGAAAGAAACTAACGAGAATTGATATGGGCAATAGGTTGAATTCTCGGATTGATTGCTAGCCAGCAAGTCTCTAAAATCGGTATTTTGAACAAGGTGCAATGCCGAAAGGAGAGTCGTGGAGCGCCAAACATTCCGAATAGCTGCATCGAAGCTGTTGTCGGAACGCCGACCACATTACCGGAATATTCTTCTTCTATACGACAACATAGCCTTTACTTACTTTGGTATTCGATAATAGCGCTGCTCAGGACCCTGTATGTCAACCTACAGTCTACCTGTAGCTTCTCAGTAATCCTCTCCATACCTTCTGCATCGATTCAGATTCCGGAGCACACGGCGTATGGCGCATTTCAAGTCCGCACCGGAACCTCTTGGCACGTGATATACGATCGTTAAGGGCCATGTCGTTGCGTTTCCAATACGGACTTCGGAGTCGGTTGTTCCGTGATCATTGCGCTCGTTGCCTTTGTGCTTGCTGAAAGAAATCAATGCAAAATCAAATCAAGTACCAAGCGTCCCCCCAGATATCACTCGAACTACTATATTTCAGACGACAATACGTTGACAACAATGCTAAGCAATCGCTTGTTCACGCTACGTCATCATACGAAAAACAACAACAATAGCAAGGATGGGACCAGGTACGTCAGTCTGCCTCAAGAAATTTCATCTGGAAGGGATGGACTTATATTATCTGAGAAAGTAGTGCATTGCACTATACACAATGGCGTGAGCTGGTGTGAGGGCTGAGAATCAACCCTGTCCCGTCACCGTCTGACGTCAAACGTACCTGCCCTCAACGACCACAAACAGCAAGTTGATCAACTCCATGAAGCACAACCGCTCCCTTTAGGCCGCATTTCTATGGGAGATATCGTATAGCTAGTTAGTGCATGGGCACTCGGAGACAAGGAGCAAAATCCAGGAGCCCAGTGTTGCGGATTACTCAAGCTAGTAAACCCACAATTTCCCCCCGCCCCCGCAAAGAGGTCAGCGCGGCCCCCCGTCTCGTCTCCACCTCACTTCCTTCCGAATAGCTGGATGCGGTGCACACGATGCCGGATCAAGGGCAATTTTCCCCTGTGGAGCGTGCTTATCCCAAAGCGCTTCCTTCAATCCCGTATCCAATGCCCAATGAGCTGACGAACGGGAAATAGATCCCGGACCTACCCATATGGCATGACTTGTCTCTCGCGGGGTATAACTCGTGCCACAGGGTAAGTACAGCGCGCATCTCCCGCCAACGAGCGGAACCGAGGCTAACTAGTGCTTTTGATAGTATACAAGAAGGCGAGGCAAGGACACCAAATGTCTGCCATTGAAAGCGCCTTCGCGACTGCGATTGTTGATCAAGAGACACACGACACGAACCAACTGGGATCAGGGTCTGGAACCAGTACACCTAGCACGGGACTAGAGCAATGCGCGCAGCACGATACTACGGAAAAGAGGATATTCGGATTGAGGATGTGGAGCAGCAGGAGTGTGGAGCGGGACAAGTCAGAGTAACGTCTTCCCCTTCTTCCGATGGTGTTGTAATAATGGACGAGGAGAACAATGTCTGATATGTGTGCAGATTGCCCCGGCCTACGTAGGCATCTGCGGTTCAGATCTCCATGAGTATCTCGGTGGACCTACATTTGCACCAACAGAGCCTCACCCATGTACCAAAGACACGATTCCCATTACCCTCGGCCACGAGTTCTCAGGCGTTGTCACAGAAGTGGGATCACCCGACTCTGCCTTCTCGGTAGGCCAAAACGTGTGTATCCAACCAACGATATACTGCGGAGCGTGCGAAGCATGTAAAGCAGGCTGCGAAAACGTCTGTGTTAATGGTGGCTTCATCGGACTATCCGGCGGTGGCGGCGGCCTAAGCGACTCGGTCGTCGTACCCGAAGGTGCAGTCTTGCATCTGCCACCCAACATTCCTCTGGATGTAGGCGCGCTAGTCGAGCCTTTGAGCGTAGCCTGGCATGCCGTATCCGCCGCACCAGTAACTCACGATTCGACCGCGTTGATCCTAGGTGGCGGCCCCATCGGCCTCGCCATCGTCCAATGCCTCCTCGCCAAAGGTGTGGGCAAGATTATCGTCAGCGAAATATCCGGCACCCGCCAGCGGTTTGCAAGAGAATTCGGGGCGCATCACGTCTTGTGTCCCAAGACGTACGACGTTGTCAAGATGAGCAAGACTCTCAATAATGGGGCTGGTCCAGATGTGGTTTTTGACTGCGCGGGGGTCCCGGCTAGTCTCACGACTGCGTGTACGGCTGTGCGACCGCGGGGTACAGTTGTTAATGTGGCTATTTGGGAAAAGGAAGTGCCGTTTAATCCCAATTTGCTGGTTGCACGCGAAGCAAAGTATACAGCTGTGTTGGGGTATCGACGGGAAGATTTTCAGGCTGTGCTGGATTTGCTGGCTTCCGGTGAGTTTTCGAGAGGTGGATTTGTGTTTGGCGCAGGTTATTAACGTGTTTTTGTGCAGGCAAGTTGAAACCGAGTAAGATGATTACGAGAAAGATACAGTTGGATGATTTGGTGGAGAAAGGTATCAAGGCTCTTATCCATGATAAGGAGAATCAGGTCAAGATTTTGGTCGAGGTTGGGGCGATGGGCCGGGTTGATTCTGCTATACATTGACGGGGGGTTGTGTTGTCTGGTGGTCTAGACATTTTCTTTGTGTCGGTAGAGAACACATGACTAGGTTGGGGAAATGTTATCTTCACACAGTATCTTTTTTTTTTATTTTAGAATATCCCGCATCTAGTCCATGCATATATCCCGATATACTTCTGTACGGCTACAAATGACATTCTGATCGTCACGCTAACACCCCACCGTCCTTTACCTCGTTGAGCCTAGCCTGCCCCCATATCGCCAACAACATGACACTACGCTGCGGCTGTAACCAAGCCACCGTGCTGCATCTGGCTTCGCGCGGGTGCCCAGCTGGGACGCCTTAAGAGCTGAATTGGGGGGAAGGGGGGGGGGAGGGGCGGGCGGACAGAGACAGAGAGGGGAGGGGGCGTTGTCACTCAGACCGCCCCATCAAAAAGTTCCGACTTGTGTACATACCCTCACAGTACTACACACCCACACACATATATATATCTTATACAACACCAAGGCCAATGTCTCAGTACGGGAGCTACACTCCTCCAACGCCGCATCAGCAACATCAGCAACAGCCCCCACCGTACCAACCTCCCCATGCAGCCAAGTACGAAGGAGGAACAAGCTATTATGCCCAGAAGTCTGGGGGCATAATCGGACAAATGGTGAATCAGCATTTGACGAATGGGAAGCCGATGCTGAATAAACTGGGCAAGAGTATGAGTTCGTTGTTGGGGAATAGTAAGCCTACTGTGCATGTGGTGCAGAGTGCGCAGGGTTATCAGGGTCATCATGGACAGCAGCAGCAGCAGCAGCAACAGCAGCAGCAACAGCAGCAAAGTCAGGGTCAGGTTACTGCTGCTGCTAATACTACTAGTCCACAGCCGCAACAACAGCAGTGGGGTCAGATGCAGCAACAGCAACAGCAACAGCAACAGCAACAGCAACAGCAACAGCAACAGCAACAGCAACAGCAACAGTGGGGCCAGGGGCATCGTCCTTCTCCACCACCGCATCCTCAGGTATCGAGTCCATATCAGCAATCGAGTTATTTCACGTCGACTCCAGGACACTCGGGACATGCTGGCTACTCGCCACAGCAGACGCAGCAAGCGCCTGTTTCGCAATCGTATACGCCGCCGCCATCAGCTACTACGCCGGGCTATGCACAGCAACACGGACACGGCCAAGTAGGGCACAGTCAGTATTCGCCACCTGTGCAGGAATTACCAGGCTGCTATGCAGTACAAGAGAGCGGAGTGATTGCAGGCACGCCAAGTCATGTTGGGGGCATAGCAAACCATGCTGCGAATACACCTCCGCATATGGCTGGACAATCTCCACAAGCACAATGGGGGAGCTCAATCCCGACAACACATTCGCCTAGGCCTCAACAGCAGCCTATGCATCCCTTGCAACATGTAGCTTCTCCAGTCAGTCCAGTCAGTCCAGAGCAGCATTGGAATGGCATGTCGGCGGCTCCTAAGCCATATAGCCCAGTTCATGTTTCGGCACCACATCACTCGACCAGTCCGTCGCCAACACAACAGGGGAACGCGGTACCTCGCCCACCGTCACATCACCAAGCTGCACCATACTTTGCGCCGCCAACATTTGCTGTAGAACTGCCCGCGGATCTGGGAAGCCTCAGCCTTGGTTCAGCGAAGCCGGCCAAAGACAATGGACATGGGCCGAGTTTGAGGGCAAGCGAGGTGCCGCAGGCTGGCACATGGAGGCTTGCCGACCCAGCGACGGAAAGGGCGACGGATGAATTCTACGTCTTGGCCGACTTGCTTTTCGATGCATTGGACAGGCAGTTTGAGCCTAGGAACACGGGCCTGGTGGAGGGGTCAAAGTTGATGGGGAGTTGTGTGCTGAGGTTAAATGAGGACGAAAAGCGTGAGTACAATGAGAATCTAAGCTAACAAGCTCTTGGGCATGATAAGGACTAATGTCAAGGGCAGGGTTATTTGCGCATCAATCATACGGGGCGTTTGCCAAGATGTGGAGCATAGAAGGCATCCCGCACGTCATGGTGCCGTGCGAGGGTGCACTGACGCCGATTTGGAACTTTGACAGAGTGACACACGGCCAGCATGTCAGAGTTGGCGAGAGCAGCAGAGGGTCGCAGGCGCGATACATGCCAGCGCTGAACCGGGCGGGATGGTACAGTTTCTTGCTGGTCGAGGCGATGCGAGCGCCCGAGGAGCTTGGCAAGGTCGTGGCAGCCGTGTGCGCGGACAGACAGCCGGCTGGGCTGGTGGCCAAGGTCGACCTCAACAAGCTTGATCGAACCGTGGACCCGGCGGTGCGAGCCAGGGCGGGCGAGCTGCGGGCGTATGCCATTGCCCAAGCGTGCGATGAGACGAGGGCTGCCATGGGTAGGGATGGAGATGGGAATAAATAGAACAAGACATGGCAGTCGAGGGTGAATAGGATGGATGGATGGTGAAGAGGGAGGGAGACGAGGAGGGCGCGGTGTTTTTGTGTCGCAGGTGGGCAGGCGCGTGTTTCCTGTTTCCTGTTTGCTGTTTCCTGTTTGAGCCGCATGACGCGGGACTATTAGCGAAACGCAATTCTTGACCAAGGCAATCAACCATCAGACATTGTTATTTTCCCAGTCTGGCCATAGACGCAATGGATGGATGGATGGATGGACTTTATTATCAACTTGTTTTCTGGTTTCATGCACAGCTGACGGGGGCCCGTCTGATCTCATCTGGTCTGGCCTGGCAGGTGAGGGAGGTCAAGCCACGCTTCTGCCCACGAACGGGTACCTGCACCCCCGCCGCCGCCGCCACCGCCTTAACTACTGCTCAAGCCTCGTTCCCGCCACTTGGGTGCTGTCCTACTAGCAAGTACCGTTAGCCCGTTGGCACTACCACCACCGCCGTTTGCTGATCGTCGCACTGCGACGAGGTTGGTATCCCGAGTCCGTACGCGCGTGCAGTCACCGCCGTTGATGCACCATTCTACCTGACTATGAACATGCCCATGCTATTGCCCCTATGCGGAAACCTGCACACGCATGGGAGCATGCCGTCTTGCTTCTCCCGCGCGACAGGCCCCCCGGGCGCCAACCTTGTCCATGATAACAATGTAATCTACCCAAGGGCCCCTCGCCAAAAGCCCGCGCGTTGGCCTTTCCCCAATCCAGCCCAGATCTGCAGGTACAGCTTGCTTTTGCTCCCATCGGCCTTGCTTTGCGCTGGTCCCAAGTCCTGCCGACTCGGGGCTGCTGCGTGTGGGTGGGTGGCAGGCACGCGCGAGGCTGCTCCAGACAAATATGTGCCAGCCTCTTTCTCTTTCTCTTCTTCTACTTCTTCTCCACTCTCCCACCCCCCCAAAAAGCCTTCTTCTGTTGCGTCTGCTCTTCTACTATTCTTCCCCCAAATCCATAATACGCGACGCAGCTCCAGCACGCTTATCCCAACCCCCAACAACATTTGCCCACCAATACCCTACTATTAACGAGTAATACAAATACGACTCTCCGACACGCACTTGTGGGTCAGCACGTCTCGCACAGCCATCCACCCATACCCCCAGCACAACGTCCAAGATGCGCGCCTCAGCCTTGTTCGCTCCCATTCTCCTCGCTGCCACGGCCCTGGGCCAGGCTGTTGAGGAGGGCATTGCTCCCGACTCGCCTGCTCCTAACGGCTGCGAGACTACCGTCGACACCCCTTTCAAGATTGGCACTCTCGAGAACCCGTCTCTCAGGAAGCGCGAGACCGCCCAACAGGTATGCATCCGTGCTCGGTCTTGGCTGGCCTTACACCATACACTACTGTATAATATACTAACACGACTGCTCTACCCAGGCTTCTGACGGCGAGCTCTTCTGCACCCTCAAGGACGGCATCTTGCACGACCAATACGGCCGCACAGGTTCCATTGTGGCTAACCGCCAATTCCAATTTGACGGCCCTCCCCAAGCTGGCGCAATCTACACTGGCGGCTTCTCCGTATGCAAGAATGACTCGCTCGCCATTGGAGGCAGCACCCGTTGGTGGCGCTGCATGAGCGGTGCCTTTGGAAACCTCTACGATGAGTGGATTGGCGCCCAGTGCCACGAGATTCGCATCCAGGCCATTTTCGACAAGAGCTCAAGTTCGTCGTCGTCGAGCGACGCTTCCAAGACCAGCTCGGCCTCTTCTGACGCTTCGGCTACCGAGAGCTCTGCTTCTGGTAGCATTACCAGCAGCGCTAACAGCACCGCCTCATTGACATCGGGCGCAAGTTCATCCTTTGCTTCTGCTACTTCTTCCTCTGGCTCCGAGAGCTCGCGCTCCTCTGGATCTGCCGGCTCCAGCACCTCTCCTACCGGATCCGCAGATGCTCCTCCTGCAAACGGCGCCGCGCCTTTGCTGTCGGCCGCTCCTTTTGCCGTGTTTGGCGTATCGGCCGTCTTCCTCGGCGCTGCCCTGATGCTATAAACGAATCACTCTTTTTTTTTACGACAATGCTTCCCTTTTTTTTTCTGTTGTTTTCTTCTACTACTTCTACTTCTTCATCCTCAGCACCGCATCTCTGGCGTCTTTTCAGCGTTTGTTAACCAACATGCACCGCATGCATAGATCCTGGGAATATCGTCTTTTTGTTTGTTTTTCTCACCCTTACAGCATGGTGATTTGAAAAGAAAGAGCACTTGTGCAGTTTCCATTTTCCCTTATTGCGCTCGGCACCTGGCGACGGGGAGGCTAAGCAAAGTAATGATAATACACTTGGATTAACCATGGAACTGGTGTTTTTTTTTTGCATGTGATGTCAATGTCGATTGTTCTCCGTGGGTTACTTTCAAAGCTACCCGCCCTTTCTCCCAAAGTAAAGACGTATGTTGAACCTGGTCTATATATATATATATACACATACCGAAAGGTAACCAGAAAAAAAAAAGAAAAGAAAACTCATACACAAGACAAGTAAAAACCCACTCATCAAAACTCACTCCCAAGCTCATCAAAACTATCATCCGGTACACCCATGGCCTCATTGCTCGCCTCGAGAATCTCGCCAACCTGCTCGACGGCATCCCTCTGGCCCTTCCACCTCTGCACCTGAAACTCAATCTTCTCGCGCAGCTCATCCGTCCACGCCACCGGATCCCTGGGCACATGCCCCGCATTCGTCACCATGGCGGGCAGCAGTATATTCATCTGGAAACCCGGCACACTGAGGTACGTCTTGAACTCTGCATAAGCATCATCCAATCTACGCAGCTGCTGTTCCATTGCTCTGTAGTCTTTTGCCAGGGTGTCGAGGTAGGCGAGTTGGGGGGCGGAGAGAGAGGCGGCGCGGCGGAGGAGGAGGAGCTTGTGGATGGCGTCGTTTTCGACGTTTTCGAGCGTCATGGTGTGTTCGTTGGGCGGGCAGCCGAAGAGGGGGTGCAGGAGGCGGAGGGACCAGCGGATGTGGCGGTCGACTTTGCTGTAGGGGTTGAGGGATGCGGCGAGGCGGGTGCGGCGGAGGGAGCGGAGGCAGTCTTCTGCATGGCTGAAGGTGAAGCGGGCGTGGTTGCGTTTCTGGGGATTCAAAGATTAGCGAAGGCTTTTTTTTCTTCTTGTATGTTTGGTTCATATCTGAGTATACGGGGAATTGTTTCAATAATGCGGGGGGAGTGGGGTAAGTCTGGGGTCTCGGTTCTGATATAGGCAATGTGGAGTAGTATATCTCTAATATAGTAATAGAGAAAACGCACCTCATCCAGCATCAAGCGCAATGCCCGTTCCGACTTGAGGAAGCGAACGAGCATATCCCTCCACGCGACTCGTACGCAGCGCGTAGCAAGATTGACACGGACATCAAAGTGCAGGCGGTCTGCTTCAGTGGGGAAATCCAAATCCAGGACGGCATGGTCGAGCCGAATGCACCAGCGCAACGTACCGAATCCTTCTTCTGGGCGCCGCAGCTCCAGCCGGTCCAGCGTGCGCGACCACCGCGCATCCGCATCGTCAATTGTGTTGCCCTGGCGGTCTGCTGCCCCGCCCACCCGATGGAACTGGCGGTACCACTCGTCGTCGACGCGGAACACGGCGTGACTCCCGCTCCATATCGGCTTGTCCGTTGCCTGGTCGTCGTCATCACTTGCGCCTGTTTCTATGCGCTCAAACCGCGCTTCCAAAAGGTGAATCGCTGCGTAGTCTTCGTCGTCGTCTAGCGACTCCATCGCCCGCGAGTGCCGGCTCCCCATGTACCCCAGCAACCGCGTGCGGCGCAAACAGTGATATAGCACTTGTCCGTCGATTGCATCGCGGAATCCCCTGCATACAAGCCGCCAGTCGAGTAAATAGTCCACGGGCACATGTTCGACAATCTGCAGTAAAAGTTCGGCAGGCAGTTGTGCTAGCGCCGGTCTCGCTGCTGACGTCGCCGTTGTTGTCGTTGTCGTTCTTTGCGATGATGCATTGCGCGCTTGGCTCGAGTCGATGGAGCTAAGCAGTGCTGTCACGTCGTCGCTGTCGAAGCCGAGGTTCACATGGCGCCGCAGGTACAACGGCAGCGAGTTGATCGACGGCGATGCTGCTGCTGCTGCTGTCACTGCTGCGCGAGACGAAATCGATGCGCTAAGCGGCGGATGCGCACCCGCCTGTGACATTGTGGGGGCGGCGGGGAAAGGGGGGGGGGCGCGACGATGTGCGTGAGGCGGCCTTGGATCGAGAGTGGCTTTAGTGTACAAGGTTTGGGTTATGCGTCATGCCGATGGCACGTGGACGGAGGATCGGTATTGCACCGTTTTTGGCAATGAGATGGGGGTTTTCCCGTTTCTGAGAAGGAATGGTTCCTTTCTGGCGATATGAGTAGTTTTAGTAGTTAGTGGACCATCGGAAATTGTGTACGCGTCCTAGTTGGTGTTTCAGCCGGGTGAGAGCTTGGTTAAACCTTCACTGCCGATCCGTCCACGACGGATATGGGATTATGCCAAGGCAAAGTGAGGAGCCGAGTACTACTTTCCAAAGTCAATTCTAGGGTATGGAATTCAGCCCGCTGTCATTACTCGTGTGTCTGCAACGCTGATAAAATACAGAACAAAGGCTCGAAATGCCACTCTTTGGAGTAGTGTCAAGTCATGCCACGTTTAAATACAAAAAGTCTCACATACCTCATCCCTCTTCGAAACCCACTTCATAGCCTCGCGCTCACATCCTTCTTCGTTACTTGCTCGAGCATACATCCCGCGAAGAACTCTGTGATCCCGTCCAAATCATCCAACGGGGTTATTTTTGAAACATCTACACTTAGTCAGCGCCGTGTCTCTTACATAACCAATATGAATGTGACTTACATTGATCAGGCCTCACAATAACCACAGCACCAACTTCCAGGTCCACACCGTACGCTTCATACGCGTGGCCATGGCCAGAATTGTAGTGGTCATCATCAACGAATGTTTTGTGAAGATCTAGTAGCCATAAATATTAGCTCTCATGAACATTTGCTGAGTATAATAACTTAACAAGACGATGGCTCTTACCTCTAATCCCCCATTTGCCCGTCGCAGGCCAGAAGTAATCTGGTATCCTTTCTTGCTGCGTGTCAAAGTACTTGCTACTCATGACGAGTAACGGTTCAATAACAGCATCGGAATACTTAGATGCTGGTGTATACCGTCGTGATATGGAGTCCAGGGCTCCAGCAAGCTATTTTCTTCTTGTTAGCATCTAACGTAAACACTACTCGGTCTTCAATGAAAGAAACCGACTTACCTTTTGCACCCTCGCAAGATGCTCATTTCGCCCAAGATCCCCCCCAAACACCACAACCCTCCACCGTCCATCACTTTTCAACACACTCTGCAACTGCACCGCCTTGCAATCACAAAACCGTATCACCTGCGCACTCGGAAACCTCATCCCCACCGTAACCCCCTTCGCCACGCTCTGCTCCCCCCGCCCGGGCTGTGTAACAACCGACTCCTCATACCGTGCCGTAAATCCCGCCGTATACCGCCCACTCCTTACAAAATACTCTGCAAACTCACCTTTGTACTTTTCTTTTCTATCAAACAACTCTGTGAGCTCCCGATCAAACGCAATCAGATCAGCCGCTGTCTTACTGCGCTCAGACACATATGTCGGGATCAGCGACGGCGGCGATAAGCCGGACAGAACGGAGCCGAGTTTCCATCCGATGTTGTATCCGTCTTGCAGTGAGACGTTCATGCCTTGCCCGGCTTTGGGGGAGTGCGTGTGGCATGCGTCGCCCGTGAGGAAAACGCGGTTGTGGGCGTGGAAGGCGGCTGCGAGACGCTGTCCGATACTATATGCGCTCCACCAGAATACTCCTGCGTAGTCCATGGAATATGGTGCGAAGATTTGGCGGGCCTGGTTCTGTAGGTCGAGCAATTTTACTTCTTTGGGGCGCGCGCCAGCGGGAAGCTGGATGTAGAAGCGGACAAGCTCGCCGCCTTCGCGGGGAATAATGACGATGCTGCCTGCGTTGCTACGAATTGTGCATTTACGGCGGATGTCTGGGAAGTTGGTGATCGGATAGATGTCCATGACGCCCCAGACGGTGTCGGACGAGTCCCCTAGCATACGGATGTCGAGGGCTTTGCGGATGGTGGAGTGGGCGCCGTCGCAGCCTATCACGTATTTTGCTTCCCAGGTTTCTTCTTTGCCGTCTTTTTCAGCAGTCACCTTGACGCAGTGGGCGTTTGGGTCGCGTATCTTGGTCTCGTCAATGTCCAGGCTCTTGACGCTCCATCCGTACTCGATGCCGTTGCTTGCTTCCTCTTGCCATCGTCCTTGTTCTCGAAGCACGCTTTCCAGCTTCCCCAGCATCAGCCCATTCATCCGCGCTTGGTTCAGAATTACATGCGGCAGGTGGCTTAGTCCCTTTTCCGTATCAATAGTTCGTCCTTTTCTCTTGATGCCGCCCGGTGCCTTTCCCTCTTCATCATCGTCAACCGCCCAAAAGCATACTTCCAGAACATGAAAACTCTCTCGTAGCAACTCTTCCGATATTCCGAACGATTCGTAGATTTCTACCGTCCGCACTTGCACACCGTCGGCTTGCCCAACCTTAAGCGGTCCAGGACGCCGCTCGAGCATTGTAAAAGGGATCCCGTAGATGGCAAGCCATGTCGCTGCGAAGATACCAGCAGAGCCAGATCCCGCTATCAATACGTCTGTTTTCGGCATTTCCTGGATAGTAGTTGTGTAAAGTGACGGCCAAAGGTTCAAGGGTTAACGGCTAAATACGATCGTAGCAAACAGAGCAGACGAGTTGTAAGTATTAACAGTCACGCACAAACGGCATTTGCGCGCTTCGCGATCTACGATGACAATCGATGATGGTACGTGTGCATCTGTATATTATATGTCTCAACACTGGGAACAAGCGGTGTCATAGTAATCATGCCGGAAGTATGTTCCGGACATGCATCGGCCATGATGCGGGGAGCAGACAGTCGTTCCACTAGCGTATCCCACACGTTCGCACAAGCCGAAAGGTGACCCGAATCAAAGCTGATTGTGACAGCTGTTCGTACGTGTCAGGGAAGAAGACACTTCCACTAGCTTTCTCTATCAAATACCAAGATAACTATACTTGGCGTCGGCTACTGCTTAGGTGCAGATCCTACGCAGGGAGCATTGCCGATGTTAGTTTACCGTCGGAAGAACGGCTAACGGTCACAAAGGCGGCGAAAGCTCGGGGAAGCATCATATACTATGTATTTCGAGTATTCATATTACTATCTACGTAGGTGCTAGTCATATCGTGTTCCGTCTGGGTAGGAGCACATTGTCAACGTCGTCCAACCCAGTCCTCCTGTGCCGTGCCAATTAGTCGCTAGTGCAAATACAACAATGCTACAGGAGTGTTGATGAGTTAGTTTTGCTTTTGCCGAAGCAATTATACGCCACCAACTCCGCTTCATGCGTAGGGATAATAGGGATCAATGCAAAATATAGATCGTCCGAGGGTAAAAACACAATGGGTCATTGCACAGGCTTAATGGCCCACAGCAGAGTAATGTGAGTTGCGCCCATGAGGTTGCTGGTAAAGCGATGGGGTATAGTCGGAGTCTTGGTACATGGTGCCTCGCCTTTCGTCTTCTGGGTATGGTTCTTTGATCTCCCAGTTGTGCTGCTTGACACCGACGGAGAATTCGAGATCTTCGCGTGTAATAGAGTCCCAATACTGTCGAAATATTAGCAGGTGCATAGGCAAATGACGGTGTAAACCACACACCTTGTAAACCATCATGACAGCCAAAAGATTGCAGATGGTAGTGAAGAAGAGACCATCAATGTAATGTTGTACGCCTTCGCAAATGGTGTCACTGAAGACATAGAGGATCACTTGGCCAATGACGAAGAAGAAAATGCCAAACAGGATGTCACCCAGCGGCCAGCGGTCCTCCAAAGTTCCCATTACGAGAATGATCTGGCTGACTGCGTAAATGAACAGACAGATGGCATTGACGAGGTAGGTGACGATAAAGATGCCAATAGGGTTCATGGGGCTCAGTCCGGCCCAGCCTTTGAAAGTCAAGAGATTGACCGCGCCACCGACGATGAACATGGCGAGGGAGCTGAGCCGCAGCAGCCAGACAGAAAGGGTGGTGCCGTCTTCATAAAGCTGGAAACCGACAAAGCCATTAATCAACAGGCAAGTACACAAGGCGGACGTGAGGCCATTCTGGGCGGCGGCAAAATACGGGTAGGTAGCGGAACCGGGCGCAGTGACGCCTGCATCGAGGACGAGAGAGATGATGGTCAGGAGGAAGTAGATGTAGAAGAAGGTCGTGATTTCCTTGCGCCCTGGTATACGTTAGCAAAGGTGCTCTTGGTCATAATGCTGATCTTGCGCCGACGTACCGACAGCGGTGAATTTGGAGCGCACGTGTATGATCATTACGACGGTCATGACCAGGGCCAGGATGTGCATAAAGTCGTTAGCCGCCTCGAAGATGAGCGTGTTGGCGATCTCAATAGTCCTGGCATAGCAGCGTGTCTGGATGCCCACGCCATTGCTGATATCCTGATGGCCCACAGCAGCGCAGAGGGGTATCGGCGCCTTTTCGCATATCGTCTGGAAGTCGCCGAAGCCCATTGTCGCAGGACGGGGATGCCGGAGCTCGAGAGTGCCAAGCGGTGGAGGTGGTGAAGTCGCAGTCACAGTCGTCGTGCGCAACACGTATATCGGAAGCGAGCGGAGGTGCAGACGACTAACGAGTGAAGGTCCGCAGTAAACAGAAGCGAGAGCAGTCGCTGTGGGGATGCGACGGGGGTCAGATTTGCGACGGGGGCGGTTGTCAGGAGTGAATGCCCAGTGCCCTGTTGATGCTTCCCGCGCTCCACCAAGGGCGCGTGCAGGTGTGTGCGATGCCGATCCGGGACTAGCGCAGAGCTATTTCGAACGCGGGGACCCACCTGGAAAAAAACAACAACACCATCCACACATCGCCAAATGTATCGTAGGGCTGAATTTACACATTGCAACCGGAGTGACTTAGTTTCTGTTTTCTACTTGTACTGGCTATATGTATGGCTGAAAGAATAGTCTTTCTCGTACAGCCTGTGCCCTTTTCATTTGCTGATGGTGACTATAGAGGAGCAAAGTTTGTCTCACTAGAAGACAATAGAAGAGCAAGACAATAATTAGCTATCAATAGAGAAGCGTGTTCAATAATATCTAGTCACAAGGGCCTTGTTGCCTGTTCAGTCACACCAGATTGTTGCAAGTCTACTTCCAGTCACCTTGACTATCATACGACTATTTAGCAGTCATGAACAGGCCTCGATTCTACTGCTTGTTCCTATCCAACCTTATACAATTGATTGAAAATTCCAAGATACCTGACTATCCACCCTAGAGAAGAACACCCTCGGTATAGCCACTCGCCAAAATGACCGGGCGTCCAAATCCGCAAGACCTTTCTCAAGCATCCAATAAAGCATTAGAAAACTTGAAGAAGTTCAGGTCAGAGAACCCACTGCTCATCACCACGATGCCACCCAGCCCTGACAAGCAGCACTCACCTACAGGCCATACGCCAGGTATAGCTTCCCAGCCATCAAGACCATATCCACGCGCCCCTCGAGTTTATCACGAATCACATATTCGCATTACCCGTGATATGGTCTTTGATCGCATCTATTTCCTCCTCGCAGACAACTTACCCACACGGTGGATTCAAAATCGTGAAGCTCTGGTTCATCTTACTAGTAAGACAGCATATTCTTCACTTACCTTATATTTCGCTAGCTGACAGGAAAATATAGAGAGCATGGCCAACGTTGTCATTCGCAGTGGTCAATATGGTGACTTTGGTCCACACGGCCTTTCTTCACTCACACAAATTTCCGTTTACATCGGGCACGAAGGCATATATCATTACATGTGTCTAGCGGTACATCCGAGTTATGGCGATGTTCGAGTCATTTTTAGGGGTGATCTATGTGAGCGTGAAGGCCAAGATCCGATCATCCATCATGAAGCGATGGCGCTGTGCAGGACAGGTTTCGACAGGGCAGCTGACAGATTGCATGCGGATATTATCTCGCGGATTCCTTGGAATCGTTCTGCTAATTAGGCTATGCTTGAAGCGGCCAGAAACATTATCATCATGATGAGAAATGTAATGAATGAAGAACAAGGCTACTGCATATTTCTCACGCATCGTCAGGTATGCGTGATGATATCAAGATTTGGAGAGACATTTCGTGAATGTAGGGGTATTTTGTGCTATCCTCGTGGTGAGATTGACCAACAACTCGAATGAGCAAACATGGTTGTACTGACAACAGCCCTATAGAAACGCTGTTGCCATGTGATAACACATTCACCTTCACTTCATGGGGACCTGCCGCCTGCAGCAAAGACGAATCCAATGCAACGGTAATAGAACACTATAGTAGAGCTTTAGACATTTGAGAACCCATTCTCACACTCAACGCTCAAATCTTGTTAGCAACTTCCAACCTCCAGGGTTCAATATACCTTTGGTACATGAGTTTCAGACAAGAGTAATACTATTACCAAAACACTATGAATCGTTCCACGATGAAACGCATGATGAAGAGCCATGTGAAACTCGGATTCGAAATGTCACCACCCTCCCCGATCGTAGCGAAAGAGATCACGTTACGAAGTCACATACAAGAGTTACTTGACAAGCTGCCACAAAATCTCCCAACCTACTATCACGAGGAGCTTATCGGTAGGTGTCACAGAAACACTTCTCGAATATATCTGACCCTCGCACTAGATGGAATCTGTTTCCTACTTCATAGTCCACTCTTCTCCTACGTCGTCGGCCCACGCATCTGGCGAGCAGAACAGAAAGCCCAGTCGTCTGAAACCCAGGCCGCGACAACCCAGACACCAATTGTCAAGAACACTCATGAAGGCGTCATTCGAGAGCCGGCGACCTATCCCGCACTGTCTAAGCTACGCATAGACATCAAGCAGGAAAAGGACGACTGGGTTACTAGCCTCCTATACAACAACGCCACACTCATCGAGGGGCGCGACCTGTGCAAGGTAGAAGATTCTTCGTTCGTCATGAGTTTCTGCTTCTTCTGCGAGGAAGTAGCTTTCTTGAGTAGCGAGTTCAGGTCGAGGGAGCGTGCTGGAGCCATCTTGCGCGGTACTGCGGGCGAGCAGGAGTTACCGGAGATGGATCTCGAGAGTACGAAGGTAGCCGATGCGGAGAGGAAGAAGCGGCGCCTTGTCAAGTTGAAGGTAAGAAGTATAATGATGCGTGATAGGATATTGCGCGGGAGGAATACGGGGAGATAGAGAGGTGAACAGGAGGGCGAGAGGATGGGCAATTGGGGGATGCGTAATTTGGAGATATAAGGGTAGTATTGGCAAATTGTTTTGCTGGGGTGAGGCGGTATATGGTACGGATATAATACATTGTCTTATTATAAGTACCTAAGTAATCAAGTGGTGTGCGATTATCGGGTGTATCATCACAAGTGGATGGAAGACCGGCGGCGACGTTACTGTGGTATAAGAATATACAAGGTCGTTCGCTTTGCGAGTTCATCTTTCCGCAGATGAATATTTTCTCGTAATTTTAGAGGGAAGTACCATATAATAATCAGGTCCCTTGTGACAGATCTATTGAAACGAAAGATGAATGAGTTGATGGCTGTCTAGAAGCTCAGAACTTCCCAAATATTTACACGATGTAATATTACAGATAGGAAAGATCTAGAAAGCTGTAGATAGTAAAACAAATAACAAAGGGACAAAGGAAAACACGGGTTGATTTTTGGGCAATCTCATGGTAGAAATCAATATTCAACAAGATCCAGACATGCCGTAAGATATTCAGAAGACCATTATTACTATCTCGGTATCAACCACAAAGCGTGTGTTGACAAAGACACGGTACGTAAAGCCATCCAATTGATCGATTTGTATAGTAAATTACAATGAATACGTGCAAATCTTGAAATCGATATATCGCATATCCAATGTACTGTATGTGGCTGCATCGGTGAAAAAGTGAAGTTGCGCAGGGAGCAGCGTGTGACGCCAAATTTTCGTGGCGAGGTTTGTTTCCCAAACCAACATTGACCTACTTACCCAGATACTACCACAATTTCAAACGTCACTCGAACACCTCTTCAAACCCCCGAAATTTGGCAAGATGGCATCGCAATCAGGCATGGTCAACCCGGCCGTCTTCCAGGACCTTCAAGCGCGCATAGACGAGGACTCCGCGGTTCGAGATGTAAGTGGCAGTTCGCCAGAGCTGCACGTGACATCGTACTCACAACGCGACAGGAGCTGCGCGACATCATCCAGGCGCTTGAGAAACACAGTGAGTGTATTCACTCAGAGTTTTAGACATTTTCTTACTTCTTGCAGATCGCAATGTCTCCTTCGTGCTGTCAAGAGCCCATTCCACGCCTGTCAGCGAGTGTCAGTCGCAGCATCCAGGACTCACAATATGGTAGCTAATTGAGATACAGTGTCAGAGATCTTGAAAGCTGCCCAAGAGCCCATTGGCAATGTCATTGACACTGTTTCCAAGCTGTCGCAAGCTGCGTCCAAGATGCCTTACTACAAGTTCAACAACATGTGGAGCCGACAGATGCAAGGCGCAGTAGGTTCAGGGTTGACACAGTACTCAGCCCATACCACTAACAAATTTGCAGTGCGAGAGCATTCTCTTCTGGGGCTGGCTTGGCGGCTACAAGTATGAGGGCGGTGCGGTACAATGTGGGCGACTCTTAACCATTGAGGAGCTCGGTGAAATCTTCAAGAGTACGTGCAGAAAAAATACATCACATACGCACTACTAACTTTCAAACAGTCCCAGTCAACCTCAAGGAGCGCGATGAGTTCCACCTCTCACTTGAGGAGTATCTGCATGCCCTTATGACGCTTGTCGAAGAGCTTGTACGTCGCCTCACATGCATTACGAATGAACAAGAATACATAGCTAACAACGACAGACCCGCCTTGCCCGCAATGCTGTCACTCTGGGCGATTACGAGCGCCCGCTGCTCATCAATCAGTTCGTCAAGGATCTGCATGCTGGATTCCAGATCCTCAACCTCAAGAATGACAGCCTACGCCGCCGCAGTGATGGCCTCAAATATCGTGTCAAGGATGTGGAGGACGTGGTGTATGATCTTTCATTGAGAAACTTGGTTCCGAAAAAGGGAGAGCAGTAGTAGGTATTGACATGGTTCAAGCAATGGTGCAAGGAATGAATGTGTGTAACGCCCTACGTAAAAGTTTCGGACATGGCCACTAGGAACGAGGTATGAACAGAGTATATGGCTAGATGATGAATTGAAAATCGTAAAGCTGTGGAAACAGCAATTCACATGTTTTGTGCCGTCTCGTACGAACCATAGAGGTGCTGAACAGGAGTTGGTTGTCCGTCCAATCAGCGAGCAGCACCACCAGCGTCATCTCGAAACTTTCCGTTCCGCGATCTCCTGCAACTACCCCGACCAACAAACGTCCCAGTCGGCCAGGCGCCATCCACGCTCCTTGCAAAGCCCAGTACAAAAGCATTTCACCTCGAATTGACGTGTCTTCGATTCTCTCAACCTGCATATTCATTACCACCCATTTAATTCGCAAACATGGCCAGCACAACTGTCATCAACGCAAACGCGACATCAAAGCACCAGGCCTCAACTGCCGCGCCAATTGAGCCACTGAAGAACGATACCGCGCGTCTATATACGCACATTCACCCCATCCTCGTTCTATCCGTCTACGCGCTCAAATTCCCCGCTCTGGTTGCAGACCCCGTGCCCACGCTGCTAAGCACCCTCGCACCGCTCGCTGTGCTGCAAATAGCCTTTGTAGCCGTATGCCTCCCACCTACTGGAGGCACGCCTTCGATGCGGAAACAGAAGCCGGGTGAGAAGAAGGGAAAGACACCGACGAAGCTGGAACAAGGGTTGAACTCGAAGATTGTGGTACGTGTCTTGTACTAACATGGCAGCGTTGCTAGCAATGCCTTTTCCCAAGGCAAGAACTAATCTGTTGTCACAGCCGGCTTTCTTGTCTCTCCTCCTATCCGCACTCGCCGCAACACCGCTTCTCACGGCCATTCTCGTCCTCTTTGGTGCACCCGTGTCTACACACCATGCACACACACTGCTCTGTGGTGCCCATGTGGCGCTCTTGAGCACGCTACCTCTGATTTACGTACACGGTGTCGACGGTGATACATGGAGACAGATTATTGCGCTGCTCCTGCCGATAGATGAGGTCTATGGAGGGCTGATTGGCACGGTTCTTGGTGCTTGGATAGGCGCTGTACCTATTCCCTTGGACTGGTGAGTTCCCCCTTGACTGACTTTCTCAACCAGAAATTGGATCGAGATGAGACTTGTGAAGCCACAAGACTAATCATGTGCAGGGACCGCGAATGGCAGAAGTGGCCAGTTACCATTGTTACGGGCGCTTATATTGGATACGCAGTTGGCAAGCTGCTAGGAGGCACACTGTTGAAGGGCAAGAAGATCATGTTTGATTAGGAGATCGTGGCTGAAATTGCTTTGCTCCCGCTCTGTTTGAGGTCTCTTTGGGACGCTTGTTGTGTACTTGGGCTAGTCAGTTGTGGGCGGTAGAAAGGTTGACACATAGATATCGATATGTTAGGAGTATGGGCCTGGCAGATGTACATTCGAGGTACACGGTATCAGAAACAGAGCAAACAAGTTTCCGTGTAAGATGCTGTGCTGTGCAAGACCACATGCATAGGCACAGGAATATACTACCACACGATCAGTCCATCCGCTACTCTAGTCTCCAAATATCCAAGATGCCGTTAATATCCACAAAAGATAACTCCGACCATCGAACGATGTCATAAGAGCATAAGCCGCAATTCCCCTCCGGTCCACCTCGGAGCCCAGACCGACCCTGCAAGCCACCTATCTAGTACTATACCAATTTCCGGCACTTCCCAAACCGGTAATCCCGGCGCAAACCAAGCTCCCAAACCACATGCAACCACCTTAGCCTGAAAACAGTATACCTTTTTTTTTACGTATTGGGCATTCTCAATACTGTTGTTGGGCCGGGATATTCTTTTGGGGATGCGGGCCTTTTTTTGTGAATAGCCGTAGAAGCTTTTGATGATTGTGCCGTAGATTGTCCAAATAAATGCGGCGAGGTGGGCGCGGGGTTGGTAGGTCGTGGGGGTGGGGGGTGAGGAGCGGGGAAAGAGGGTTTATAAAGCTGTGGACGGCTCCCGGAATGAGGGGGGGGGGAGGGAACGAATTATATTCAGCTTTTTTTTACAACTTTCTAATTCAAGACTTGGGGGTTTTATCAAGACGCTGTATCTGAGGAAATTTCTTAGTGCAGGATTGTGAAGAGGTCTAGGTGTACACACATGTAAGTTAACGTACAGAAGGGCCGCTTTCCTGGGAGAATACCGGTACGATTGGCGGATAATATGGGATGAATTGCAATACTAATAAGAGTGCTTGTAGAAACTTGACGCAAGAAAGTCGACTTTATCGATTCCAACTCACACGATTACAATCCAAAATCATGTCGCGGAAACACTTTTTTCCCAATCCAGAGGGCGTCGTGCTGCACACGCTGCGCTCGCTCTGCGCACGAAACAAGCACATGGCGCTCGACGAGGCCAACCGCGTAGTCTACAACTTATCCCACAGACCCAATGAAGTCAGCATCGTGTCTGGAGGCGGTTCGGGCCACGAGCCGGCGTGGTCGGGTTTCGTGGGCGATGGCATGTTGTCGGCTGCTGTGTGTGGAGATATTTTTGCGTCGCCGAGTACGAAGCAAGTCATGGCTGGTATGCGAAACGTACCCAGTACAGAGGGCATAATACTCTGTATCACAAATTACACGGGCGACATGCTGCATTTTGGGCTGGCGAGGGAAAAGGGCCAGGCGCTAGGGTACAAAGTCGATGTCGTTTGTATGGCGGAAGACGCAGCGCTGGGTCGTGCTCAGAGTGGGAAAGTAGGACGAAGAGGACTGGCGGGCAACTTGCTCGTCATCAAGCTGATCGGTGGTGCATCACTACAGGGCTGGGCATTTGAGCGGTGTAGGAAGATGGGTGAGCTGGGTAATGAGCAGCTGGTTACGATTGGAACGAGCTTGGATCATTGCCATGTCCCTGGAAGAGAGGCGTTTGAGAGTGTGCAGGACAATGCCTGTGTTGTGGGTATGGGCATTCACAATGAACCGGTATGTGGAGAGAGTTCATCTTGCTCTTCCCCCCCAAAAAGAAACCATACTTATCGGGATCTAGGGCCTGCGAACGATACATCCGATGCCTGGTCCAGAAGACGTTATCAAGGAGATGCTCAAGTATCTCCTGGACCCCTCAGACTCCGATCGCGCCTTCGTCAAGTTCAACCCCGGCGACAACGTGGTAATGCTCGTCAACAACTTCGGCGGCCTGTCAAACCTGGAATTTGATGCCATGGTGAATTTAGCCCTCGTAGCATTAAAACGAGACTGGAGCATCGAGCCAACACGCATTTACGCAGGTGTGCTCGAGACATCGCTCAACGCCCAAGGCTTCAGCATAACACTGGGCAACATGAGCGGCATGGCCAAATCCATGGGTGTCAAAGACGAAGAAATCATTGCTCTGCTTGATGCCCCGACCAACGCTCCCGCATGGCCGAAGAATGGCTTCAAGCCAGTCAACATCAATAAGGAGACGGAAGAACTACGTAACAAGGCCAATGCCGCGCTGTCTGAAAAGTCAACACTCCACAAAGGTCCTGCAACCCCAGCTTCTCTCATCCCCGCCCTGCGAACAGCATGCAAAGCCGCCTTAGCTGCCGAGCCCAAAATCACCCAGTACGATCTCCAAATGGGCGACGGCGACTGCGGCGAAGCCGTAGCAGGCGTATGCAAGAGCATCCTCGCCAACATCGACGCCGTCGAGCAAAACCCACCGCCCATCCTAGCACTCCTAGAAAGCATCGGCGAAAACGTCGAGGACGTAGGCGGCTCCCTCGGCGCCATCCTCTCCATCCTCGTCACCGCCTTTACCAACGCGCTCGCCACAGCCACACTCTCACAAAATGCTCCTCTCGACATATCCACGTTTGCTTCTTCCGCGCTCACCGCGCTTGAGAATCTGAAGAACTACACTAGTGCGAGAAAGGGCGACAGAACGGTCATGGATGTCCTCATCCCGTTCATCAATACGTTGGCTGAGACCAAGGACTTTGCAAAGAGTGTGCAGGTTGCGGAGGACAAGGCCGATGGGACAAAGGATATGAAGGCCAAGTTTGGGCGCGCCACGTATATTGCCGAGGATGGGAGTGATAGGTCGAAGATTCCCGATCCGGGCGCGTATGCGGCCGGTGTGTGGTTGAGGGGGTTTGAGAAGGGGTTTCAGGCGTGATTTTGAGTGATGATGATGATGATGATGATGATGATGATGATGATGGGGGGGAAAGAGAATTTTACTAAGGAAGTCTCAGGTTGTGTACGTAGGTATAGAACAAGTGCAAACTAGCTAATTCCTAGCACAATTTCCATCATAACTTTAAAATGGATGGTCTAGAAAATAAGCAACTCCCGTTGAAGACTTATCCATTTCGGCGTTATCGATTCGTAGATCCTGGTAGCTTACTTGGAGGGTTTTTGGGCCGGGCTGCTTTCGCGATTATCACTCAAAGCATGCGATCTGGGCTCCATACTGCAATTACTGCCCCATCTTGTGACGTCTCATACCTATATGTCGCACGTCCATCTTATGTCATACCTACTAATCTCGTACTGTGCCGTATACCCATCTACATACTGTCATAGTCTAAAGTTAAAAATGCCACAACATTCTTGATTGCAACCAGCGAAACCAGGCAAAGCAACATCCGATTTTATCCCGCTCTTTGAGTTGCATCCTGCTAACTACGCTCTGATTCCCTAAACCATGAGAGCCCTTTCCAATAAGTCTATAGTAATAGATCCTGTATTCTCGTCAATCTATCTCTCCCTGCGAGCCGTACTATGCCGAGTACAGCCATGTAAGCTTAGAGGCGTTTCCTAATTTAGAATGTGGCGCATACTATTGCTTACTTACTAACTAGAAAGATACTCTCGACGGGCTTCTGCATAACGAAAGGATGGATCGAGACCTTGAGAAGATAATGCACAGACCAAATACCATCACTGGGGCCTTCCGTCTTACCGTCCATGCCACTACTTGTACCACAGGTGTATTTTCTATATAAACTGGTACTTATTTGTCTAGTTCTGTACAGATTCATCTTTCATCACGTTTCTGTTTACTAAGAATTTTCCCAAGATGGTACACTCACGATATCTTCTTTTTGTATTTGGAACTATCCTTCAGCATGCCTATGTTGTAGAGTCCAGGAGGAGCGTCTGTAATAGACCGTATTCCAGAATCAGTCATCCATGCGATGTACCCCAAGGAGAAACCCTTGGCTGCGATGGGTCAGGATTAACACCCGTCTGTAATCCTGGACAGAAGGCCGAAGACATCCAACTAGGGGAAGACTCAGACGTTCATTCTTGTACATGCTATGTTACGGTATGATATTCTATGTTAGTTTTTAAGCTCCTAAACTAACAATTGATTTAGTATCAATGTTGCCCAGTGGGTAATCCAGGGCAGGGTAGGATAGGATAGGTGGGAGGTGTTTCATAGATGAGTACAAGAATACATCAGTTCAAGTAAATCGAGACGACTCTTTGAAGAGGTACTTAAGCGTATGGGATTATCAAGGGGGTTGCATTGGCTTATACATGGTTTATCTCTGAAGCGTACATGAAATTAATCAATCTGTTGATTCATTTGATCGATTCTCGATTGATTGGTTCAATTCAATCAATTCAAAAACGCAGGAACTGGAGGATCAATTCATCAAGTTTTAGAGGTCTGGATTGATTTATTTAATTGGTAGATTTAGTCACGTGCAGTCCATATTAGACGAAGCTTTCTCACCACCAAGATAGCTTCATCTAATGAGATATTACTATATGAGAAAATTCTGAATCAGATCAATCAAACGGCAATCAATAACTACTAAAATATGGATTAATCAATTCAATTCAATCCAATTGCAGAGGTCCTTGAGGACCAACTAAATCGAAAATGATCCCTCAGATTGATTGATTTGATTGATCCCAAGTCTGCTCTGGAGCATCTAGATACACTGTATTCTTATCTCTAAAATTAGTGCAGCAGTCCTAACAAGGAGAAGATGACAAGAAAGCTTCTACGGCACTAAAACTTGAAAAACTCCTTCCTGGCAATATGTATATTGAAAGAAAACTTTAGTTCAATACTAAACTAGGCTCTAATATTCTGGATATTACTTTTTGGAAGTGGAGAGGGAGAAATTTAAACTTTCGGCCTTGCGGATTCCTTGGCATCGTGGAAAGAGAAATTTTGAGATCCTGAAAGCAAACCCACTGTGCCACCTCTCCGAAGTATATCTATAGTTCCTTGTAGTCATCGTAAGATTGACTGAATAGGAGTTTAGTCACTTTGGCCGCCCCAGGTAACTTTTGAGTAGCACTCGTGATGTCGAACAGTTCAACATTTTTTAAATAAAAACCTTGCCTTGTGTCAATGACGTACGCGACAGTGGCGGGAAATGTGTAAATAGTGCCAGAGGCTGCCTTGAAGATAGATTGAACCGACGCAGTAACGCGAGTGATGTCCGTCCCAAGGAAATTCTTCTTATACTCGTAGCCTAACACAGTCGCAGTAGCGCCGCTAGTAGTGGACTCCAAGGGAGTCATGTGGAAAGTGCTGGGGCCGTTTTAACTATCCAGGTATGCTTTCATAGCCCAATTAATGGCGCCATTAAAAATAACACGGGTACCGTGGAGAGTAATCGTGAAAATGTTTTTGCGGGTAGGGCTAGCACGGATCGCAAGAGCTTTAGACTCAGATTCGTAGCTAGAGCTCTTCGTAGAGACGTCCCCAGGGGTATTGCGCACAAAAATATCGTCCGCGGGAGGTAGATTGGCCAAGGCTTCAGCAGCTGGTACAGTTTGAAGCTCCGAGGTTGCAACTTGAGGGATTTCAGCAGGCAGAGCCAATGCCATAGAGGCTGTGACAGCAGCCACACTAAAGAAGCGGAGAAGATGCATCTTTGGAAATGAGAGATGCAGAATGCGCTTAGGTGGGAGGTCCTTGATAAGAGAATTTCTTGACCATAGGACTGTAGGTAGCAGAATGATGCTGCTTGATACTTTCTTCAGGATACGCAGTAGACGACTATTTGAATAGTAGAAAAACTCTATTCATCATCACACTTCTGTAGCTAAAATTGTGTTCGATTTCCTGTCTTACGTAAATTCTGATTATTCCGCCGTCGCCTGTAAGCATTAACATATCTACCGTCTCTCACAAACTTTACTTAAGGGCATTTAGCCAATGATAAGAAACGTGTGACTGGTTACTACTCTACCGATATCTTGTACAGACGAATACAACTCGGCTTGGGCTAACCAAACAACATGCTCACGGTATATGGACCTATTAGAGGTTGTTCCGTTGCCTAAACAGGCTAGTGTGTTCTAGTAAGTTTGCTAGAGCTTATCGTAAGCATATTTAGGTTTCCTATGTGGGCTGGAACTTAAGTTTTACGCTTTGGTAATTATATAATATTTTACTATTTTATGCACTCATCGCATGTACTTATCTGTGAGAGCCTACCAACATGATTATTATATTCTTATTACATTCTCCTACTAATATCGCAATCCACCGCTTTGCAGAGACATAAGAATCTACACGTTTCAAGTCAAAAGTTATACAATAGTGAGTAGCGTCAACTTTTTCGTGCTTTGTCTAATTTTGATGTAGTACATTACGCTACTATCCCTCTTATCCTTATTTCTATAGCTTCTACAGCAGCTCAAAAACTATTTGGTCTACAATGCTTTGTTGATTTCGACAGCTGTCAATTTGAGGTTCCCGCAGAATTGAAGAATACGTTGGCTGCGGCCTTTGGAAAAAGAGCAGGATGTAAGAAAGCTGTAGTCGCGTTCCACGGTGCGCCAGATTCTGCTATTGAGGGATTTTTCTGCGACCCAGTCGCTGTTAAAGCTATAGGCCCTAAATGGATTTATACTTACGATACTGTAAGAGAGATCTGTTCTGTCTAATGCCCATAGGGGTGCAGGCAAGAATGTTCGGATCAGGATCGGCGGTAGAGTCACATAGAGGCATATGGGAGTGCGTGGGACACCGACAAGCCTTGATTCGAATAGGCACCTATAGTCTTAGTACGAGAGAATATTGAAAACCTACTATACAACTATGGTTAGATGTCAATACTTATACTCACAGATCTGCTCCGGCCAATGAAGCTAGAAGATCTGGGCCGACCTTGTCTACTAATGTTGCTTGCCAAGACTGTACTGGGCCTGTCCCGTTGCACCGCCCTCACTTGATGATACGAAGAAAGCGGCTATGGCTCCCTTGGCCCGAAGGGTACCAGATGAATCACCGAGGACTAGCCTTGCTAGGCTTCAGTTCAGAGTATCATGACAAACATCTCTTCTTGCTAGTTTGACTACAAGTGATAAACGAGAAGAGAAAAAAAAGTCTCGAGGAAGACAAAAAAGACGTCGCAGCTATAAGCATGTAACACTACGGTAGTACTATGTTATTTCACATCCACATAGCCAAGCATGTATCCAACCTACCTGCCGTGCATCTTCCACCCTAAGAACAAGCGAGCCAACATCATCCCTGCCCATCCTCACATCCTTGGACCTGCATCTCCCCAAACATCAACGCATCATCTTCTCTCCCACATCCGCGGAGTCCCTCCCCCCCTTACCTCTCTTCATCCATATACGTAGCGCGCGACCTAGTCATTTACCTCGCTTAACCCCCCCGCATACATCAAGTCTTGACATCACCTCTCCAACCACCATCTCGAATCCACGCATCCATCGAATCGCGACAGTGCCAGAATGTGATGTCAGGCACCAGTTCTCGGTGCATGTACCCCAAATGACGCTAATGCAATAGCCCAACGCCCCGGGTGCTCGTTTACCGGCTATTTTCTTACCATTTGTAACGTCGGCCGTGGTGAGTGGGGTTGCTGGTCTTTTCGGTCAGTTGTCGTTGTATGATGCTGTCGAGAGGTGAAGATGGATGGAAAGAGGGGAAAACGGCACGGGGGATCCGTAGTTAGCACGCTACGCGTAGAGACAAGGCTTGGTGGTGAGATCGGCGCGGTTGGCGGTGCGACTGAGCCACGTTGTAATTGTTACGGATGTTTGAGCCGGGAGTGTCTAAGGGAAGTGTAGGAGGGAAGTGGCTGTTATTAGAGGATGGGAGGGAATTAGGATGAGGGCGTGTTGATGTCACTGGGGAAGTACAAGGTTATCGAGATGGACTACGACATAGCGCTCGTAAGTAAGGAAAATGCTTATAGTCTTCAAAACGCTCTATAAGAATGCCCGGCAAAGATCTCTTCACTTTCCATTCCCTCCAGCACCCTCACTCAACCATCATCCAAAATGCTCTCAAAACTTCTCCCCTTACTATCCCTCATCCGCTTCACCACCGCCCAATCCCAAGTCCAAGAACCCGCACCACCCCCCGCCCTGCTCTCTACTGCAAAATCCGGCGTCATCCCCGCCCTCCCTACCGCAACCTCCTTCACAGGCGTCGACACCCTCCAAGGCGCCATCATCTCGCCCCTTCCTCCAGCACCAGGTTACCTCCCCAACGCCACAGGCGGTGTCGAGGGCACCGCAACCGCATCCCCAAACCAACCCTCAGCCACTTACCGCGCTGTGCTTCCGGATGTACAATACAACCCCTACGTCAACACCAACGTCACGGGCACCATCGACGCAGCCGGCGACCCCCAAGGCGTCCGCTTCACCGTCAACCTAACCAATCTACCGGATCAACAGCAATTCGGACCTTTCGCATGGCACATCCACGCGCTCCCCGTCCCCAGTGACGGAAACTGCACCGCTACACTCGGCCATCTCGACCCCACAAACCGCGGCGAACTCTACATGTGCGACGCTTCTTTGCCAGAAACATGTCAAGTCGGTGATTTAGCAGGTAAGCACGGCGGCAAAATCACTTCAGAGGGGAGTTTCGAAGTGCAGTTTGTAGATCCGTATTTGAGCGTTGAGCAAGGGTCAGAAGGGTACTTTGGGGGATTGGCGTTTGTGTTGCATACGGGGAATACGACGAGGATTACTTGTGCGAATTTTGAAGTCGTGCAGGGGGGGAATGCGACGAATGCGACTGGGGGTGTGGCGTCGCCGACGCAGAGTGGGTTGCCGGAGTTTACGGGGGCGGCGAGGAAGGTAACGGGTGGGACGGTGGCGCTGGCGGTTGGGGTGTTTGCGGCGGTGATGGCTTGATGGGTTCGATAATAATTTACATAGTCGTAATTGGATATGAGTCATGGGGTATAACATGTGTGTGAGCTCAGACTGCTTCTTCCGCTTCCTTCGTACTCTCACCCCACGCTTGGTGCAGAGAACTCGTACATTCCTTGTTACAGCCCGGCCGAGTGCAAACCCAGAATCTGGGACCGGCACTGAGCGGTTTCTCGCAGAGCGGTCTCATACACATGCTCCACTCGTACCCATGGACTGAATGGCCTTTCTTCAACATCACTTTTGCAGCCGCGGTCCTCTTTGACTTGATCTCTTCAACTGACAACTGGAAGCAAGTGTTGCAAACAGACGAGGGCACTTCCCTGAGATCCTGTATGGGTCCTCGGTATGTGTTAGGATTGACGAAACGCTTGTACATGGTGTATAGCCAAGGAGCATCAGGAACGCATTTGCACTCTATACCCTTGTGTCTTGTGCCTTGAAGGGTTTGTTTAACCGCAACATGTTGGTAGTAGCAGGACCTGCAGTATGGGACACAGTTTTCCAGGTGGTGTAGTGGGGCTGATTGTACAAACGAGGTGGCCTTGAAACAATCCGAGCATATCGGAATCCAACACACCGAACAAGGAGTCCTCGCGCCACCGCCACGGCAAGTAGATCGTTTGAAAAGGGTGAGGCGGCGATGAAGATCGTCGTGGGGGAGGACCGAGTTACGGACAGATTTGGAGACGGAAGACAGGCTCAAGACATCGACGTAGTGTAGGTGTTGAGTGACCATCATGAGCATGTCGTAGATGCCGAGGAACTGTGCCAGTTGCGTAGGCTCCCCGTCAGTGCCTTGATACCTCGCTATATTATCCTTGTTGAAAATCTGCGTCTTCAGCCCTTTGAGCGCAATCTCGGTCTTCTGCTCCGCCCCAAGCGCCGTTTTCGCGGCGTACCGGCGCGCTGTTCGAACTGGTACTTTTGCCTTTCTAGGTACACATAAGCGGAAGATAAAGACTGGGGTAGTATACAGAGTAAAAGGAACAAGCGCCACAGTTCCTCTTGGTAGATAAATGGTACATGCCAAGAGGAAAGTAGCGCATCTTTGGATTTTTTTCAAAAGCTTGATGACTTGTTGTTTGGCAATTGGTATGCAACCAACAAAAGAGACAATACCAAAAAGTGCCATCAAGGCTTGGAAAAAGCTTGGGCTGTTAGTACTCAATGGCAATTTGGGGTTCATGGACAACTCACGCTATGGAGATGCCATATTGACGTTCCTCGGCAAAGTTCTTGCACATTTTGGTAGGGGTTGTGACCGTTGCATTCAGCCTCGCCGCAGCAGCGAAGAAGCTCTCATTAGTCCCTGGAGGTCGCTGGTCGTAAAAAGTGGACATGTCATTACATGCGCTTTTCGCCGTGGGCACGTATCTGCTTTGATAATGCGTAGCACGCGCTATGTAGATGGTAACTAGTATATCCCCAGCCGCGACTGGGAGATGCAATGGCGGTTCCAGCCATATGGATGGTATCCAGATTGTAATGTTCCATAAAAAGGCAAAGGTACCCCACCAGTCTGCCATCCTTTCGCCGGTGACGATAGTTGGATCGTAGGTGCCATTGTGAAGCAGAAGGTTGTCACTGATTACGTTGTTGTGGCGTGTCGCATAGTCCTGGTAATAGATAGTCGGTGCCAGGATAATGAAGCGGAGAATTATGTTTATGCAGTAGAAGGCTACGTAGAGTCCATAGAATTTGAGATCTTTTTCTGTCCGGTTGAATCTGGACAATGCCATGTTGGGTCTAGCAGGTCGCTGAAGCGATCTGACTTTGTGAGATGGGATTTACAAGACAAGGATCTGTCCAGTTGTAGAACAGATGAAGGTTGATGGATCATGAAGAGTCAAGTCTTTATGGGATGCAAGAGCAAAGATAGACACGAGATGTGAGGTTGCCGAGGCTTGAGGAGGGTGCTGGATGCCTGGTGCGCAGCCACGCAGCACAAGGCTGAACCGTTTGTCTGGTGATAATCTTTACCGAAGGCATTCTACGGCCCGGTTATGACTGGCGCGTGGGGGGATACAGAGAAGTATTAGGTATGGTGTTGCAGCCTTGTAGCCCCGCAGTGGAAAAAGAAGGCAATTTGAAGGGCGCGGTCAGCCCATGTGGGTTAGTTCAGAGTTACCGGTGAACTGGATAGAGGGCAGCCCAGTCAGCCACGACAGTATGCATCTGTCGTGCTGGGCTTGATGGCAACGGAAATGGCCAAAGGCCTGGAGCTGGACATGACGTCGATCAGAACGGGCTTGAGTCAGGGGGAGAAGCGAAGCATGTTATGCGCACTGTCGCGTTGCCCATTGCGATTGGCGCAGGGCTCGTGGTGGCCGAACGTGTGGGCACAGCAAATGAGAAATGACATGTCGCAGCAAGGTAGGGGTGTCGAGCAAGATGAGGGCTGGCGTTGGCTGGTGTTTGGCTGGCGTGGTGGTGGACAGGGCGGGCGAGGCGAGTGAGTGCACGGCTCGAACCGCCGCGGGCGGGTTGGTGTCGCCGGGGCAACGGCGGGTGTTTATCGATGCTACAAGGTGCCAATACACCCCTGCACCTAGCTCTATCAAGCACACCTGCGATTCCCTAATCTCGGCCCACACAAGGCTCACCAGAAGGGCTTCTCCGCAAAAAGGAACCTCTAGCTGCATCTTAGCCCCCCCTCGAAACACACACCCTTCCGACTCCTGCATTGCACAGCTTCGACGTTTCGCCTCAACACCCTCGCCGCCGCCTCATCGTCTCAGCATACAAGTCGAGCTGATAGCTGCCACTAACCCCGCCACAAGGATCCTCGCAACCTTATCCGCCATGGAGGCCCTCTTATCGCTCGCCTTTGACAATATTGCGTCCAAGGATACGCAGAAGATTCGCAAGGGATTACGGCAGATTGAGGGCATGTTGGCGCAGATTTGTCTCTCTGGCACAAAGTCGAAACCCAGCACACCAGGCCACCGCCGGAATGCCTCAGCAATCACTCTGAGCGAGCAGCAGCAACAACAACAGCAACAACAAGCCACAGCAAAGAAGTTGGGACAGCTATCAGATGATCTCGCCTTCCGAGAGTTTTTTCGCCTACAAGAGGGGTTCGAATGGAATGGTGCGTCGAGTCAGCAGATCAACAATGGGCAAGATGCTAATAGTGTAAAGTTGTGACCAGGGTAGCCGACTGTCTGGATCGATTGCTTGGTATGGGCAGCAGCAAAGGTAGGAGAGGTACGCAGAGTTGATGACGATTAAGAGCTAACCATGATTACAGATGGCCAGAACGACATCCTCATCCTCTCGTCGCTTTCCAACATACAAGGTCTCCTCCTGCTACACCCCCCGTCACGCATCATCTTCGGGCGCGAGGTATACATGAACCTTCTCCTCGACCTGCTCGACCCCTATAACTGCCCGGCGATCCAGTCACAAGCCCTTCTCGTTCTCGTCTCCGCCCTGCTTGCCACACCCCAAAACACGCGGATATTTGAGCACATGGACGGCCTGCTCACAGTAACAAGTCTGTTCAAGGACGAGGAGACAACACAGGGCGTCAAGGTCAAGCTGCTCGAGTTCTTGTACTTTTACCTCATGCCCGAAATGCCCGTCTCGGGCCCTCAGCGGAGTCGCGACAAGGTCAGGACGGCTATGGACCGGCGGGGGAGCACCGACGACGGCAGCAATGGAATCAGAAAGCACACACGGTCGCAGGCTGAGAAGCAGCATATGCTAGGCAAGTATCTCAACAATGTGGATGCTCTGGTCGAGGATCTGCAGGAGAGTGCGCCATTTACAAACGTCGCCTGCTAAGAGCGATGCAAGGCAGATTTTTCATCTGTCCCTTTTTTTCTTTCTTTTATCTATGCTTACTTTGGTTGACCACATATTGGTCCCGTTCAGCGCGGCGTCACGGAATGCTTGGTGTCATTCGCATCCATACCTGTCGCAAACACCATAGCTATTATTGCTACTTTTTCCTTTGTTACAATGCATGCTGTATTTTTTTTTCTGGGACAGCGAAAGACTGATAGCTTCATTGCATATTCCAGCGGATACCTTTTTTGTTTGTAGACTATGTTTCTCGTTGGGCTGGGTGGGTTTGTTGACGTCTCAGATTGAAGCGAGACGTTGAGCGTGTGGGCCTATTAGAATGACGGTGGGGGCATGGCCTGGATGGCCCATTGCCGTCATTGAATAATATTCTGTACATATGTATGCGACTTGTGCAGTGTGAATTGCGTGACATGTGTAGCAAATTTGATCCCTTTGCCCTTTCTGGCCTAGGAAAGCTGGGTTTCAACCGCCTGGGTCTGCTTTGGTGCGCATATCTGATCAGCAATGGCTTGTTGAGGCGTGGTTGGCATGGCGCTGATGTTGCAGTCTTACTGCATAGCCTACTCGAGACGTTGTATGTAGTATGTAAGCAAGGCAGATCGTGGATACGTGCACATGGATGATTGGGTGCTGAGTGGATGCCTGTCAACAGAGGCCCAGCACACGAGGCTACGCCCAAGTCACGTGCGAGCAGCCTCGTCTCGTCTCGTCTCGTCTCGTCTTTTTAAGCACATCACGTTGGTCTCACGTGCAGCGGACCAAACCTGCCTAGCACCGGCGATCGGCGGAAGCTAAACCTCTGCCGCCGTGGTCGCGTGCTCATTGTGAGATGCTCGCATTACAAAGGCGTGCCAACGGAGTGCGCGGATCGCGAGCTGGGAGACATCGGAGCCTCCGGACGGGCGAAAGTTACTGCGAAAAAGTCGGTGCTAAGTTTGAATATTGCCAATTGAACTGTTTACCGTCACTTCCAGCCAGTACCTTTGTCATGCCTGGGGCTGGTAAGCACTTCAATGCTGCTGCCCACAAAACCATCTCTAGTCATGACGCACACTTTAGCAAATCATCAGTAAACTCCTTCTCGGAAGGTCGGCTATTCATGCAACGCCCTGCACTACACAAGGGCAGCCGCAGAGCAACTTCGTCCGACCACTCGCACGCCTTGCCAATCCATGACCTCAGAGCTCGTTCGCTAATACCTGCTTGCCGTCTCTTCCGTCGACACCATGAATGTGGCATGCTTACTCTTAGTGCCCTCTGTCGTCCTCTTTTGCATCCTCCTAGCCGCCCATTTCTGAAATCTTGCATAACTATACCAGAAGTTTTTTTTTCTTTGCTTCTTCCTCTGTCTTACTTGCCCTGCCTTTGAGCTGGTTGCCCTGCCTGTGAGCAAAGCTGGAACGCCTTACGCCTTGCGCCTCATACATCTGCTCGCATCCGTATTTGGTCCGCTTACTCGATACACTGTCAACTCTACCTACAACAAGCAACATCCCGGAGGAATAGTGACGTCTACTTCTTTCTTGTAAAACTACAATACCCTCCAGATCGCAAGCCTTTGTTTTGTTCGCCTGAACATCCCATCCGGCATAGTATCATATCATGGGCGCAGGAGCCTTCATAGAACCACTTGTGGTTATCACCCTACTCTTCGGCGGTACTTGGGTAAACCGCAACACGGAATACCGTCTTCTTAACCGACCAAAAGTCTATCACCACTCGCCCCGCTCTGCCTCACCCGAGTCTGGTCGATCGAGTCCCCTGTCCAGTACATCACTTCTCGCCAATGTCGACGAAGAGCCACGATGGCAGTCGCGCGAAATCAAACTACTAGGCATGCGCAAACAAGTTCTCAGCCCAAACACCCGTAGATTCCAAGACTACTTTCTATCAAGACTACTCCAAAAGTTTCCCTTTTTAGTCGAAGCCTGGTACTGGGCTTTGATCTACTGGGTACGTCAAGCTTCACTTCTGTGGATTAACCAAAATACACCAAAAACGCTAACAGTTATCGCCAACGCAGGTCTACCAAGTCGGGCGCGGCATAAGTGCCCTCTATCTCATCGACGAAGGCACCGTAAACGTCGCGCGCCGCCACGCCTTGCAACTCATCGCCCTCGAGCAGCGCCTACACATCTTCCTCGAACTCGACATCCAAGCCTGGTTCCTCAAGCACCCCTTCATTCTCCACTGGACAAACCGCATCTACTCTTTCATCCACATCCCCGGCACCATCCTCTTCCTCGTATGCCTCTACTACTACACCACAACCCGCAACCGCGTCAATCTCCCCTTGCACAACAAGCCAATAGGTGAAGCATCCGGCAGTCCCGCAGGCGCAGCCTTATATGCCGCCCGCCGCCGCACAATGGCAACCTGCAACCTCCTCGCCTTCATCATCTTCACCCTCTGGCCCTGCATGCCCCCACGCCTCCTCTCCGACCCAGACGTCACCGGCGACATTGGCAAAAAAGCCCGCAGCTTCGGCTTCGTAGATACCGTGCATGGCGCTGAAGGCGAAAGCAGCGTCTGGACCCAAAACAAATTCTGCAACCAGTACGCCGCCATGCCCTCGCTGCATTTCGGCTACTCCCTCCTTATCGGACTGACCGTTATGACGATTCCGCTGGCGCCCCAGCATGCGCGCTCGAGGAGCGTAGCGTTGACAATGGGACTCCGCATGCGTGTCCCGTCACTACGCAGGTTTCTGTGTGTAGCACTCGGTGTCGCGTATCCGACTATTATCCTCATTGCCATTGTGGCAACGGCGAATCATTTTATCCTAGATGCCGTTGCGGGGGCTATGGTGTGCGGTATTGCTTGGGCGGGGAATCGCGTCCTGCTTAATTTGCTTCCGCTCGAAGACTACTTTTTGTGGTGTGTACGCATTCATAAGCCTGAGAGACGGTCGGTTGGATGGGGTGGAGATGAGTTCAAGTATGGTGGGGCTAAGGGTGTGGTTTTTGATTAAGCTTATACCCTTGTTTTGTTTTTTTCTCAAGAATGGGGAGGGGTTCGGGAAGACGTTGTTGGGTGGAGGTGTGAATGAGACAAGAGTCGGATTAAGTGAGTCGGAAACTTTGACGGCTTTTTTTTGTATTGGATTAATACCCCCGCTGGTTATATATACCATAGGTTTTACTTTTTTTGCATTTGCGATACGCTCGTTGGCAAGTAGCAAGCTCTGGGTTATGCGAGTTATTTGTTTATACAGCTGTACCTTGGAAGACATGGGTGAAGAGGTCAAGGCATGGTACTTGATTCTGTATACCCTAATTAATAAACTAAACTCATAATTCACTTCCATGGAAATCGTATAGTTGCAGTGTAATATGGCATATTTCTCAATTGAACAGAAGAAACTTGACGGCAGAGGAAACATCGATTTTTCTTAGCCCATAGCTCTTCCTCTACAACTACACAACCATTTCCTATCTTCATCTCCTTCCTCCTTATCTGCTTTCCCGCACTTGCACACGTCACCTCCCCCAAAAATACACCACCTCATCCCTCCGCCTTCAACTGATGCTTCCACCCCATAACAAACAAACACTCCATCTCCCTACTCTATCCTTCATTAGCCAATTTCCCACCATCAAAAACCTTAGAAAAAAAAGATAATCACTCACCCTAGTCCCACCCTTACACTCCCCCTCTCTCCACTCTCCCCCCCTACACCACCCACAACCCCCCTCTCCATCCCTATCTCCCCACTCACACCTCCAGCCCCCCTTCCCCTCATTCAAATACCCAAATCGCAACTCGCCCCTCCGCGCATCAAACGGCCCCACGCTAAACGTCTGCGGGTAAGCGGGGATGTGGTGGTCGACGATGGCGCGGGTCGAGGAGGTCAGGTTGATGATGCGGGAGGTCCAGTTGCCGTTTGTGAGGGTTGCGTTGGCGGAGTGGGAGTGGGAGGAGGAGGAGGGAGAGCAGAGAGAGGTCAGGGTCAGGTGGAAGGGGTAGAGGATTATGGGTTCGGAGGCGTGGGGGCGTGTGGTTTGGGTTACGCGGGCGGTTTGGGTTATGGTTTGGGTGGGGAGGTTGTTGTTGTTGTTGTTGGCGTCGAGGGCGTGGGCGTTGGTATTTGCGGTTACGGAGGCGTCGAGGGCGTGTATGATTGTTGGGGTTGGGGTGTAGAGCATGGTGGAGGTGTCGCGGTCTTCGAGGAAGAGGGCGAGGGCGGGCTCGATGGGGGAGTTGGGTGCCGTGAGGGCGGTGGTGAAGAGGTGTAGGAAGCAGATGAAAAGAAGTGAGAGATGCATTTTGATTGAAGCTGTGGGTGTGAGTGTCTATATTGTTGACAGTGCTTGGGAGAATGTACGAGTATTGTTCAGATAGTAGACTGAATTGAGCGAGTGTATTGGCGCAAAATCTACTTCTAGAGAACAATTGAAGTGAGAGGACTCTATAAGATGGAAGTTTTGAAAAACAAGTCGGATATTGGAAAAGACAGCGTCACCTCACGGTGAGTACAGTTGGTGAACCAGACACACGGACAGTGGGCAAGCAAACGGACGGGAGACGCTCATATTGGACGCACAACATGACTAGTCAAAGAAAGTGGTACTCGGAAACAAACGTCAAGCACACGCCCGTAGGAAAATGAATGGCAAGGAATTATAGATAAAATTGACAGGTACCAACTCGCAAGCATGAGACATGCAAGCAGCTTGGACGGCCAATAGAACAGAGACTAGGGCCTGTGTGTTACCAGGTGAGAGATTACAAAGAGTATACATGACATTGTTGTGTACATTCAACAAAACCTCCGGGTATAGTGTTTAAAGAGGGTATGGGTAACCGCAAACGCCAACTGTGAAATGTGCTAGCACCAGTCTAGTAACCAAACAGAAGACTTGAGAAAATCTGACATAGGAAATGGAAACGCAAGGAAAACTTTTTTTAGCGTCTGCTGCTCCTGGTGTTGTTGCGACTGGGCCTGTCGTCTCTGCGGCGGTCATCTCTATAGGAACGTTGAGTATCCTGTCGGTAACCCATTTCCTCATCTGAGATGCGCTGGCCACGGTAGGATTTCTGTGGTCGGCGCACATCGTCATACTCATCGTTGAAGGCGTTGCGTCGGTCTTCGATTTCGTCGTCAAAGTCAATATAGACTGAAGCAGGACGAGGTCGTGATTCCCGAGGCATTTTGGCTTCGCGTTCGATCAACTCCTTGGGCTTGTACACCTTGTCTAGGTGTTGCTCGAGGAGACGGACGTTTTTACCGTTGGCTTTGATGGCGGCGCCGGCAAGATCACCGAGAAGTGGAACGAGACCAGCGAGAAAGTCAATGGCGGTGTTGACCACCATCAGAAGGATAACCGTGACAGGCAGGCCGCATTCGACCTTCATCATCTGGCGAACAAGGTTGAGGGTCAGGGCGGCAGACATAGCGTCACCAGCAGCAGGGAATAGGCCAATCACCGAAGACCAGCCGAACCGAATTCCCATAAAGGAAAAGAGAGCGTAGTCGAGTCTGTAGGCGGACTTGCGGGCTTTGGCAAGGACATCTGCGTCATGTGGAGGGATGTAGCTAGGAATTTCCTTTTTGACCTTTTTGGTCTTGCCAGGCTTCCTTGGGTGTGGGATTTCCTCGTAGAAGGGATCCTGCGCTGTCGTTAGTATGGTACTACACTAAGGTGGATACAACACGAGATCTCGACTTACATATGGGCCCGATGCGCTCTTTCCCCGGTACTTTTCCATCTCCTTGCCGAGCGCCTTTTTCATGGCATATTTGGCTACAAGATTCGCCATGGTAGGTGGTGGATGTGAATGTGCGTGTGTTGGGTAAAGAAAAGGGGCTCAAGTAGTTTCTGATGGGCTTCTGGACAGAGGCCTTGTACGGGCCTTTAAAGACCGGAAGGTCTTTGAAGATGAGGCGAGGCCTTTGACGTGGTGCTGCAGCGCGGCTGTATCAAAGCGCGCGGGGTGGTCTGGTTGGCTACGACGTCTTTGGGCGGGGAAATGTGAAACGGGCGCGTCGCTGGCCTATGTATAGCTGTCGAGTGTGGTCGCGCAACAAGCAAGCAAAGGACTAATTCTGTGGAATGTAGAGGTTGAAGGAGCGACAAGAAACAAAGATAACGGGCCTACTTAATGAATGGGTGAGGGCGCTGGCGGTGAAGTCAGAGCTGCCCTGATTGTGTGACGATCCCAGACAGTCCAACGTCATGGCTTCTGGCCATGGCAAAGCGAAATGCTTTAAAAGCACAGCCACAGCCGCCACACCCACTGCACATCGATCGCCTTCGCCGACGCCCAACCCGCCGCCACATGTCAACCCTCCGATAGGCCAGCCTGCCATCAACACTACAAAGCCCATCCACGCTTTTGCTTTCATTGCGGCTGTGTACTTACATCCATATGCTCCCCCGCATCTAGACCACTCGCTATCTACTGCTGCTCTCGCCGCCGCCCGACGCCCGCCCGCGTCCCCCCGCCACCACGCACGACACCTAGCTGCCCGCGGCATGCTCGACACGGGCCAGACATTCTCCCACAATGACTCCCACAAACACGACACTAGTTGACTGGCTCGATGATCTCTGCGTGCGCTTCATCGTCAACCTGCCCAATGAAGAATTGCAGTCAGTCGAGCGCATCTGCTTCCAGATCGAGGAGGCACAATGGTTCTACGAAGACTTCATCCGCCCGCTCGACCCAAACAACCTCCCCTCGATGCACCTGCGCAAGTTCTCCCAGCTCATGTTCCAGCACTGCCCGCTGTTTTCTGCCTACTCAGAACAGCTGCACCAACAGGCCTATGAGCAGTTTCTCGCCTACAAGACACGCGTCCCGGTGCGCGGGGCTATTATGTTGAACGAGGACATGACACATGCTGTGCTGGTCAAGGGATGGAAAAAGGGTGCCAAATGGAGCTTTCCGCGTGGAAAGATTAACAAGGAAGAGACAGACCTGGATTGCGCCGTCCGAGAAGTCTGGGAAGAGACCGGCTTCGACCTCAGGGAGGCTGACCTAGTCGAGCCTGACGAGAACATGAAGAAGATTACCGTGACGATGCGTGAACAAAGCATGATGCTCTACGTATTCCGCGGAGTGCCAATGGATGCGCATTTTGAGCCACAGACAAGAAAGGAAATCTCAAAGATCGGCTGGTACAAGCTGACCGACTTGCCTACCCTAAGGCGGAAGAACCAGGCCCAACCACAACAGGGGCACGGACAGGATTTGATCAAGGAGAGCAGTTTCTACATGGTTGCTCCCTTCCTCGGACCTCTAAAACAGTGGATAAAGCAGCAAAACAAGCTAGGGAGACAAAGGCTACGGAACAGCGCACACATTACACCAGCACAAGTGGCAGGTACTGATGACGAAGATGCTCAGCCCGGGATCTACAGAAGTACTGCTGGCCAGATTGCAAACAATACACAGTCAAATGATGATTTCGCCAACATGGTGGCCCAGCTAGGTCGCACTCACCGTCCAAGCGATACTCTGCCAGAACTGTCTGGACAGCAACATGCATCGCAGCAGCAAAGCCAGGATCCTGCCGAAGCACTTAAACGGCTACTTAGTGTGGGCATGCCATCTTCGGCAGTAGAAGCACCTGGTAATCCAGCTCCGAACCCGCAGCAGGCTAACCCACTTCTGGCATTATTCAAGCAGGGCAATAGCCAGCCCGGAGTGGGCCAGCCCCAGACACCATTCGAGCAGATCATGTCTACACCTGTGCAGCCGTCAAGCCCCCATGGTCAACACCATCCTCGGCCGCCACAGATGCAGAATATGGGACCTCCGCCACCGTTCTACACACCTCCAGGACCTTCAAACCATTTCAACAATATGCAACATCCACAACATATGCAGCATCAGTTCATGCAGAGTCCACCCCAACATCCAGGTTCAATGTACTCACACCAGCCCCCGACGATGCAGCATGCATTTGACCAGCGAAACCCACAATTGTCCCATGACATGAGTGACTCTCAATTCGCAGGAGGTAACGGAAGGCCTGTCATACCTCCTGCATCCAAATTGCCTGCTCCCAACCTCAACCCGCATGCATTGGGCTTACTGAATTCTTTCAAATCCAACAACCGGCAGTCTCCTGCTCCCCAATCGCCCCAGACAACCGTCGCTGCCCCACTGCACCGAAACCAGCAAACAACTCCCAGGATAGAACATCCTCTCCCTCAGCATTTGCCTCATGGACTCGTTTCGCCGCATGGACAACAATTTTCCGCAAGTCCGCCACACTTTCAATCACCGCAATTTCAGTCGCCGCCAATTGCCTCTAACTTTGTGCCGGAGCAACCGAAGCCAAGGAATCTTCACCAAGATTCTTTGTTGTCGCTGTTCAGGCCTACTCCTCCATTGGCAAGTCCTGAGCCGGCACCTGCAGAGCTGTCGGCATTTCCTACAACTCCAGCTTTTGCTTCTGCTCAACCGGCTGCAAACCCCTCCGAGTTACCTAACACAGGCGTGTCAGGTACTCATGGCGCTCTTCCTACCAGGGCGAAGATTACGTCGGCCACCGTGAGTGGCCCAGTGAACGCTCCGGACTTTGACACCATGAAGAAACACAGGCAGTCTGCAAACGGGAGTTCATCTGGACATTCACCGGCCACGAACATGCCATTCATGCCTCAGCAGATTCTCAAGCGTCCTCCTCAGGCTTCTCCACAAAGTATTACAAAGGTTTCTCCGTCACCCCAGCAGCCGACTGAGGTATCAGCCTCACCTCAACCGGCATTCAAGCCGCAGATCCTCAAGCGTCCTCAACAGCAAGAGCGGAAACCAACGCCTGACGGAAATAGTTCGTCTGGACCAGGTACGTTTCAATTATTTAGACTTACCTGCCATATTGTGCTAGATTCGTATACTGACATTGATGTTGCAGCAGCACCCGTGACTAAACCCACACCGCACGCCCAGGGGTTGTTGGATATGTTCAAGGGAAACTCGCCCCAACCCCCTCCCGCTCAACCAGCAGTCTTACCATCTCGCTCACCGGTGCCTCCACCCGGATCCGCAATGGACCGCCGCGACTCTGTCCCTTCAGACCAGAAAAATGTGCTGCTTTCCCTCTTTAGTAGCAAGCCGTCTCCTTCGCCGAATTCTCAAGCGAAAAGTCCAATACCCCCAGCGCGCTCCCCTTTTGCGCCTACACCAAAAACGTCAATGTCGGGTATCATCAGTCCAGTCAGTCCTTTGCCCACAAACGGCAGCGCTGGTGCAGTTAGTCCAGAAGGAATGGCGAATCGTAGTAGGATTAGCAGTATTGGAGACGGAACGGCTCCCAGCATCGTCATTCCACCTCCCACTAGCCATCCGGTGGACAGTGCAGTAGGCATGTCACGGGGAGAAGGTATGAACTTGGGTGGTCTTGGAACTCAGGGTTTGCCCGGAAGTGCGATTGAAGGCAAGAGTCCTGTAGATAAGACATTCTTGTTAGGTTTCTTGGAAGACGTTGCCAGGCGCGGGCGTTGAATTTCTTTTTTCTCGGATGGATATGCATTTTCTGGAGTTTTCTTTTATTCTTCTCATGTTTTTTGTAAATGCCTGGGTATTTTTTAGGAATGAAAAATGTTTGGTTTTTTGGGGAGATTTGTTTGCAGCGTCTTGAGAGAGATGTGAGAGTTTGGAGCGTTGTCATTGCTCATTGGTCTTTGCAATCGGATCGAAAGTTTATCACGAAAGGCGAACTTGAATAAGTTCAAAGGGCACAGCAATCGTAGTTTTCCCTCCCCCTTTTTTCCCTCCGTATCCAAACCTTATGCAATTACCTTACTCGCACCCTCTGAAAGCAAGCAAGCGCCTTCACTCATCACCAAACATAGACACACTTAGAATACACATCCATTACACACTGACCTCCCCCAAGCAAAAATAAACCCAAATACACTTTAACCCCCGAGCCAAGTCCACACCCGCCCCCCTTCCGATCCCACTACCATCGGAACTAGTCCCAAGCGCCCCCGCCGTCCCCTTCCTCTCTCTCCCTCTCTCCCTCTCTCCCTCTCTCCAAACAAGTGGAAGGCCCCAAAACAAGGCCCGCCTCAAACCCCCCCCAAAAACCGAGGCACGTGCCGTGGACTCCTCGGCTAACTCTTTTACCTTTTACCCCAACGAACCCAACCCGAATCAAAAAAATCCCCCCCCCCCCCCACACTAGTATGACTATCGGAACTACGGCTTCTCGGATTGGAAACGGCGCTGCGACACTTGTGATTCCAAAAAAAAATAATGTCCTGATCACCAAAGTTTATGGAATTCGATTAAGTGCCCGGGGGTAGTCAAGTTTTTTTTGACAAATTTTGATTTTATTTTTTGAATTGTGAGGCTTGGCTGTGTGTCGTGTCGTCATTTACTTGGGGGTGGGTAGGTGTGTGTGTGGCGCTTTGTGCATGGGGAGTTTGACAAAACATTGTGTGTGCAGAGTGCGATATGGGAATAGATTTGCGGGTGCGAAACAATGGGTTGGTCCTTTTGTTTTTCTTGTTTTGTTCTTGGGAGGGTTGCGGGTGTATCGCGCGACATGTGTGTGTGTGGACGCGTGTTGGATGGGTGACACTGACGTTGAGTGACACTGGCGCTGGGATGTAGGTTGTGTCAGCGGTGTGTGGCTCAAGGATGGGATTTGTGATGTGCCTGGTAGGTTTTCATACAGTTGGGTCTTGGTTGCGGTAAAGGTAAGGAGAGCGTTAGAAGCGATGGAGGAATTGCGCGTCATCGGATTGACAAGTTCCTGGAAAAAAGGATGGATAGATTGGTGTCGCGACGTCTCACGCGTTGTAAGAAGCAGAAAAGAATTCGATGGATTACGTTGCTATCAAGGTGAAAAGAAAAAAGGGTATGCGCGCGTCAATTCGAGAGGCTAAGAGAGCATATTCACCATATCACAATCTTCTCGAGATAGGCACACACAAATGATAATGGATGTTGAATATAAGTTTGCAATGTACAAAAAGACAAGGTAGAAAGAAAGAGAGCAAAAAAAACTATGATAAAAAAGCTTTAGCTACACAAAAGGTCGAGCCAGGGTATAACTTCGCATGTCCTCTGTGGGAGAAATAGAGTGAGCTCGAAAATGCAGACGAAAAGCGCCAGAAGCAGTGCGTGTGTATCTGCGTGAGTGTTATGTTGTGGGTATTATTCAATCCGCTTGATTCCAGTCGTGCCCAAGCCCAATGCTGTTTTCGCCAGTTCCCGTAACCGCGCAATGAAGATGCAACAGAAGTGACGCTAATCCAAGGATGAATGCAAAAAATAGTTGGTGTTTATGTCAAAGTAACAGGTAGTTAGGTGGTCTGTAAAAAACAACTTGTCAGGCTTTACAATGCGGCGTTCTGGCGGCCCCTATCTAGAATCTCTGAAGGCACTGCGCTTCGTGTGCTGAATCGTACTTCAGTTCCCGGGTGCACTTTGAAGATTGGTGCCGTTGTCTGCGTGTCGTGTCTCTGATGCTTGATATCCCTTCCTACAAGTCCACTCTTGGTGCTGGGTTGCCTGGTAATACCATTTGCGTTCTTGGGAACAGAGGATGGTAGGGCTGGCATTTCAGGAATGTCATCGTCGGAATAGGTAGTAGACTGCGTCATGCGGAATTGCTGCTTGAGGCGTTGCTCTTCCACGCGATTAGATTGCTGGTTAACCCAAGAGTCGACAGTGCGGAAGCGAGGAACAGAAGAGCGCGATGTCATAAAACTCTCACGGGCAACTGACTGTGCAACGGTATCGCGGGATGGGTCATGAGGTGTTTGAGGAGCCTGCGAATTTGTCCAGCTGAACCTGCTTGCCATGCCTCCTGCACCTCCGAACCCAGGTCGTTGAGAGATGGAGGGACGGTTGGAGAGGAACTGACGGAACGATGGAGGAGCTGGGAGGTTGCTTGGTGGGCGCGATGGAGTGTCGGCAAATTGCAAGTCCTCGTCGTCGTCCAGTGATCTAGTGTTACGGGTTGATGCGCTCCGCCGTTTACCTTCAATCGGAAAGCTGGGCGAGACTGGCGTTTGGTTGTCGTCTCGCGAGAGAGCGTCGTCAAAGAAGCTTTGGTTGCCGTCTCTAGTAGCGGGTTGACTGAAGCTGTCGCTGCGTCCAAGTGGTTGCAGGCGCTTCTGTGATGACGTCGAGCTAGATCTTACTGGGATTGCAGCTGGTCGAGGGGGGTCGATTGTATCATTCATTCCATAACCGCGTTCATCGTCAAATGCGTATTTCTTGTCTTGTCCGTATCGAGAGGACAGTTGTGGTGGTGGACCACTGTGAAATTGCTGTTTACCCTGCTGGACAACATCCCTCATGGAGAGACCACGTTTTCGCATAGTGTAAATGGCAAGCACTACCATGACAATGATGATTGTTGCACCTTTGTTTCTGTTAGCGTGACCCTAAACAAACAAGATATGCAGTCTCTGCGTACCAATGGAACCAGCCGCAATGAGCAAATGCTCAGTTGTTTGCGAGATGGGGCTGTTATCGCCGGATCCCTTCTCAGCGAGAGGCGATGGTGACATTCCCATTGATTCGGACGGTTCGCTAGCAGCGAGAGCAGCCGGGGTAGACTTTGGGATAGACTGTGGGATAGACTGTGGGATAGACTGTGTGGTGGTGGTCGATGGGTTTACGAGCTGCCAAAGTTAGATTTGATTTTCAATGGCAGTGCTCATCTTACAGCTCCAGATCCTGGCGGCGATCCGATTGAAGGGGTTGACGTTGACGTCGGCGCCGAGTATTCGTATTCATCGTCCTCGCTATCGGAATCCGTGTCGTTGGGGTTTGGTTGGGGTTGCTGTCGGCGCGAACGAGATCGTCCAAGTATGCGGTTGATAGTGGCCATTGGCTCTTCCGATTGCAGCTTTCTCTTGTGCTTGACTCCATCCTTGTCGACAACCACATAACCAACTCTGTTGTAAACTCCAAGGAGCCGTGTAGCAGGCATTGTGTCCGAAATGTGATGGCCTTTTGGGATAAGGAGAGCCCCTCTCAGTCTTCCTGCCGCTCGATTCCTCCACCAGACATAATCCGCGCAATCGACCAGCGATGTGAAAAGCCTTCGCGATCGAAGATGGGCTCAAGTCCTAAGGCCTGGAGGACTGCGACCAGCGTAGTCGGGGTTCAAGATTTGGGGTAAGGATGGTGTTTGGGTGAAGGAAGGAATATGAGTAGGTAGGTAATTAACAACAAGCCCGCCAGCGGAACAAAGGTCAGAAAGGAAAGGAGCGTAGGTCAGCAGAGTAGCAAGGAAAGTCTGGGCGAACTCTCAAGACGAGACACGTTCATGCAACAGGCGCGAGGGGTCGCATTTGAAAGAGCGCATGAAGGAGGCTAGTGCTGAGTCGCTCCTGGTCCCATGTCAGTTTGGAGAGAGGTAAAAGAGTGGGGCCGGGAGGAGGATAGGAAGGGTGAATTTAGCAGCAGTTGGCAGCCGAAAAGACTCCAAAAGGCGGGATCAGGTAGCCACGGCGTGCCAAGGACGGCCGAGTACGGTTAGGTTGACAGAAATGAGCAGTAAATTGGCCCGGGAAGCTTTAGATACCGTCTTAGAGCTGTCTCAGGGCGCCATGGTCGGGTTTCAGCGCCCGTCTCTGGAGCAGATCAAACGCCACAGGGGTCCGTGGTGAGACTATCGGTCGGCCTGCAACTATTGGATATCGAGGGCAGCTTGGTGAATCGCAGATGGAAGTCAAGCCTTTTCATAGTTCCCCGCATATAGGTGGCAGTGGGTTGTTTGCATCTTGTGTGGTGTGCAGGATGCAGGAGGATGCAGCGGATGAGGGCTGTGCCGTGCAGTAAGGGAGGTACAGGTAGACCAGCCACACGTTTGCGTCGTACGAGGGCAGAAGGGCACCGCTGCGCCTCGCCTTACCTTGCCTTGCCCTGCCCTGGTCCGTCGCTTGTTGCTCCACCCGAATCTTGCGTGCGTACGGACAATACGACCGCGTTTAGGGTCTGGCCGCCGCCGGGATCCGGCATACGCCATCGGCTCTTTCGCAGCCAGAAGAGCCAGAGGCACCCATTGTTTCGAGCCAGGGCGCGCAGGGGCGGATCAACTGTTTCCTTGCTGAGGCACGGGCGCCTTGGGTGCCGCGGGGAGATCGACTGTGCTCTGGGGCCCAAGCATGGAGTAATAATAAAACAAAGAAAAGTGCGCGTATGGCAGACAGAGCAGACATCGATGACTAGTGGCAGGCCAAGTGTGGCGCGTCATGTGGCGGATGTGGCAGTGGAGTGGCAGATGATGCGGCCGTGACGCGTTTGGCTGTGCCGAACTCGCTGAGGCTGAGCGCATTCCGAAATGTCCGCTGGCGCTGCTACGCCCCCTCCAAGGCTGCAGTGCACCATCCGCTCAGTCATCCGGCGGCAGGAGGAGCTGAGCAAGCAACAAGTCCTAGTGCTATATAACATTGTGACGCGACCCGGTTGGTCCGATTCTGCCTTCACTCCTACACACACATTCAGCTCAGCCGACGTTACAAACATACCCCTCATCAACCCCTCACCAAGCCTATACGCGCACCCTCTTCATTTCTTTCGACCATACACACATCCTATCCACTTGATACACTCAAAATGTCCGGCCCTTACGACCAATACAACCAGGGCTACCAGCAGCAATACCCGCCCCACGGCCAGCAGCAGTATCCACCTCAGCAGGGCTGGGACCAGGGCGGATATCAGCAGCCTGGCTACCCACCACAGCAGCAGCAGGGCCAAGGTTATCACGACCCGCAACAGCAGGGCTACCAACAGCAGCAAGGTTACAACCAGCAGTATGGCGCACCTGCACATGGCGGTTTCCAGCACGGTCAGCAAGCGCCCTATGACCAGCAGCAGGGGTAAGAGAACATGCTCCCAATCAAAAATCGGTCATGATGCTCACGCCATTTTCAGTTATGGCCAACAACAGCAATACCCGCCATCAGGCCAATACCCTGGTCAGCAGCCGTCGCACCAATTTCCCCAGCAAGGCGCCTATCCCCAGGACCAGTATCCTCAAGGCCAGAACCCATATGGTCAGCCAGGCCAACACGGCCCAACAGATCCCAATGCACAGGCCGAGGGCGATCGTGGACTGATGGGCGCTCTCGGTGGTGGTGCAGCCGGCTACTTTGGAGGTAACAAGATGGGCGGCCACGGCATTCTCGGTGCCATAGCAGGCTCCATCCTCGGCAGCAAACTCGAAGACAAGCACAAGAAAGGAAAGCACGGCAACGGCTACAACTAGAAGGGTAGTACTAGACCAAGGGCTGCGTCCTTGACCTGATGCGTAATGATTTTTCTATGTAACACACACACGCGTTCTATGAATAGGTGGGCTTGTCTTTGACACAAGGGGGAGAGGGCGTTCTGGATTACATGTTGATTTACCCTATAAGGGGGGGTTATAGCATTGTTTTTTTGTGTATAAGCTTTTCATGCATCTAACCTTTTTAACGCCCTTTTCCACGTTATACTTTTATTCCCACAAACGAAATGAATTAAACCCAGTGAGATTGCATAAAGTTCAATTACCACACAAACCCTCCTTTCGCAAGATCCTAGCCGTCAATCATCGTGGGCTTCAACTTATACACGCGTCATGAGAAAACTTTTATGTTTTTTTAAAATTCCCCCGGTCTCGAACAAAAAAACTTCCATGATTTGCGCTGATGTCAACTCATCAACCCGAAACAAACGCTCGACCACCCGTCATGTCCAACGGAAACAAAATTCTCCATTGGGTATATAACACGAAAGTGAGAAGTTTTCTTGGTCCCTACCCTTACCCCCCCTAGTCTTGGTCCAAAGAGACAACCAAACAGAGAAACAGAAAGAAAAAAAGGTGACGTACATAGCCGCTTTGTCCCCTAAATACCATTACCGAATCACCGAGATGGCGCATTTTTCTTTCCGAGTCGAAGGGAGGGGGGGGAAGGGACGCGGACGTTGAAACACGACAGTGACCGAGAACAATGCCGGGGGGGGTGGTTATTATTGCACACTCACACTCTCACACCACACGAAAGGTGAACCAACCAAATCGAGCTTCCTTTTTGCATACATATTTACGGTCTTTAACAGCCATTTTACCTTTCCTCCCCTTTTTTTTCCCCATCAAATAGCGACACGAACCAATCGGTCCCCGAACCTACCATCCGATCTCAATGCCGCGTCTGCATTTCTCCTGTCATTACCTTGGCGCGCCCACGCACCCACTTTGACGTAAGGGGGGGCGCTGGGGGGGGG